GCCTAGTGGCCATATAATAAATATTTCCATCATATTGAACAGCACGGATATTTTGTTCTGTTATAATCCTGGCACAGTTGACATAGCGCAGCCAGTTGGACTGAAATGCATCTCTTCCATCAACCAAGTGCATCAACTTTCCATAGTCATCTCTCACCTGAAAAACAAAAACATCCCAAAATTTAAGAAGTCTGGAATGAGAATAAGACTTGTGATGAATCACCAACAACTCCCTGTGTTTTACATGGAAATATAGGACAATTTGTATGGAGAATCTAATAGTTCATCAGATGTCACTTTGAGCTTTTTGCCTTACACCAAATTAATTAGTTCCTCCTTTTACCCTTAACTCTTGAACTCACAAGACCTGATTGTAAATTCTCCCCACTAGCAGCTACACATTTCCCTGTAAATTAGTTATGAGAATAAATCAGTTATGATAATAAATTAGTTATTGTCCTTAATCGTTCTTCTCCAGCTCTGCTGCAAAAACTGTTGAATGGATCCTTAGACTTTGTCTCAGGATCATTCAATTAAAAACATTTGCTTTGCCTTAAGCAAAAGTTGATCATCAAGAAATAACATTTGATACTGAATAGTCTTACCTCCCAGACATAGGGGGAGTCTTTGTAGTTTTTGGCCTCCTCAGCAGTCACCTTTTTACCAACAAATGGTCCAAAAAAATCATGTTTGGGAATCACACACTTTGCAAACACTCCCCTGCCAGCTTTAGGGATATTAGATTCTTTTACTTCAAGTCCAGGGGGAACTATGACCTCAGCTTCAGCAACTAAGAAATTAATAGAATTGATAATAACCTTTTGATTAGTACAGCTAACAGATAATTTTTTTTAAAATGGGCTCCTCCATTCAGCATCAGTACCAGTAACATCTTTAATTATTTTTGAGTACACAGGCAACTTGCATGGATTAATTTCACATACCTAACTGAGATTTGTTGTTTAGTGGAGTTCAAAATTACTACCTTAATAATGTACACAAAAAATTACATGCTTCTGATTGGCTGAAAAGGAGTGCATTCTCATGTTACACAAGTGTAAAGTTGTGACATGAATGTCAATTTCAAATAGCGCACACACCCTTACAAAATTTTGTCTAACTTGACTTGTGCTGTTTTTTCATGTACATCACTAACAAGTAATAACATGAAATCTCTTACAAGCACCTGTAAGACTGCAAATTATACTCACCAGGCTTGTGCTGTTTTGTTGTCTTTTAAAAATTTCCTAGTCCTTATCAATACCAAATTGTACTCAAAATCATTTTATAACCTATACATGTACTAAGATTAAAACAAAAGAAAAATTTCAAAATATGTCTGTGGAGAGATCTCTTGTCAAGTTTTTGGGGGGTTAACTTATTGAAAATAACAACCAGCCTGTACTTAAATTTAGGGAAGTATAAATCCATCACAATGGCTGGTAGAAAATCAGATTTTTTGTTTGAGGTTTTAACTAAAGGTGGTGGTATGTTGGCTGGCCAGATTTTTACTGAATTCAAGTGGCTTTCCAGTCTTGATCTGCTCATAACACCAGCCTTTGGTATCAACTTTGGTTTTTTCAGACAAAGAGTCTCTTAAATTTTGCAAAAAAGTAGTGGCTCTTTTTATTATATTTATTACCAACCCAGTCAACAGTACTGAGAATTTAGGGCCTTCATAAACAATAGAAAGAAGAGGTTTCCGTCCCTGAATTGCCACGTGTTTTCTTTTTTTCATCATTTTTTACACCGAAACTTCCTCAGGTGTGTGCTCCTCACTAATGCGCATGTAAGTTTGAATTGGCGAAATCTCCTCTAGGATTCGATCACAAATGCACGAATTTGCGCCGAAGAACTGCGCATCGGTTGCAATAGAGCTTAAACTCAGTCCTATATCTGTAAAAATCCAAATGCATCGATTAACATGGTCACATATTCATCACAGGAAAGGAAAACATTTGAGCGTCACCCCACTGTACACTTCAATGGTTTTCTGAAATATCACGCGATTCATGGCGAATATGTTACAAATTTGAAAATGTACCCACGAAAATGTTTTGAAGCGCTGGCGCACCGTTTATAAATGGAAAAAAAGGCCGATTTATCAGACAATAACGAGTGATTGTTCCTTCGGTTTCCTTTCCAACCCGCTGGTTTCATTCGCTTGGCTGTAAGTGTAAACCAATACATGCATAAAATATGTAAATACTCAAAACGGAACGAGAGCGCAGTACAGGCTTTTGAAAATGTTCCAGTTTGAGATGTATTTTTAAAATAATCACGACGGTGCTACACTAAGAGTTTGTACTAACACCTTAGGCTACGGAAGAAATGTTTCACTTTGTAAATCATGAAAGATTAGTGGTGAAGATTTAGTCCTGCCCTGTCTAAACTGTATGCAATTATTATGAACACGCATTCAAATGAGCTCGAATTCCCAGATCACAGACTCGCACAATAATTGAGGTAATTTGCCCTCAAAATACTCGTATTTTCCATATGCAATGATCACATGGGTCACGGTGATCAAATTCTTTCATCTAGAGTGGCTATAATGAGGAAATATGAGAATAGTTTGGAATAAACCTCGAGAATCTTGTTGCTAATTTATGCGAGTCGACCATGTGCTTGGTCTAAAATTATCAATACCAAACTCACGTTTCGTTAGCTCGGCGTCAGGCAAATCTTCCCCAAAATAATACTTCAGCTCGATTATTTTGCGGCGCACTGGTTTCGAGGACGTTCCCCGGTCGACACTTTTGGATTGGCCGTCTTCGTCTGCCTCCATTTCATCGTCCTCATCTTCGCTGCTCTCCGAGCCGGATTCTTCACCTTCGCCATCGTCTTCCTCGAAATCGTCTGCGTCTACACCAGTTATCTCAGGATCTGTTTGCGTTTCTGCATCAATTTTATCCACCATTTTCGCCTCCAACTCTTTCTCCTCTAAAATAAAAACACGAAAACATTAACAAATTACTATCAAGCTTGTAAAGGAATGCATAAACATCTCGCGTTCAAAGCACGCGTTCTGTAACATGCTGAGTTACCTCTGCTCTTCTTTGCCGATGAACGCGTTCCGACCCCCATTTCTGCGACTCTTGGGTAGCCGTAGCGAAGAACGATAAGATTCCGGCGAGATTTTACTTCCACGAGCGTTTCTTGAGCTCAGTCTGAAGCGTATTAATCGCAGTCAGAGACTACCACAAGTCTTTCCAGAGCATGTAGAAATGCAAGCCAAGAGTGAACTTACTGTGCGAGTACTTCATAGATACAAATTGCGATCTGTCAATCACGTCGACACTACAATAGCTTTTGCTCTCGATTGGCTTACAAAGAACAAATGGCTTTCATAGATTTCCCGCCAGATCTTTTGTTATTTATTTCATTTCAAATTCCTCTCATGGTAGTGATGGACACCTTACGCTTAAAATTCAAATTTACACAGTATCAACTTTCTTCTGTTCTTGCATATCATGAAAATTAATTTTGCTCAGCAGCTCGATCCAAAGTAATATTCCTTTAAACGAAGCTCGAAACTTGAGAAACGTAAAAATAAGGCAATAAATTTTTAAACCAAGGAAAGGTAATTATTAAAACACGTTTCAGGTGTCCAGTTAAACTGGACAGGTAAATCAAAAACCAATGATCTGTTTAATGGTTGCAGCATTCTTACATTTCGTATTTCAATATTTCGAAGACTCAGATGCTTGTTTTTTTTTTTGATAGATATACGATATAAAAACAGAAAATGATAACGAAGCAAGAAAACGAACTAAAGATAACCATTGATTTTGAAGAAAGCACATGGACCATTCGATTTCACACATTTTGGCATCGAGTTTCTCCTCTTAAGTGTACGTGACTTTGTCACGCAATAGCTTTAAGGTAACCCGCGTGACAACTGTCAGATGAAGAAAGGGAATTTCTAACCCTTCACTTTCGAAATCTTTCACAATCATCGTCTAAAAATTCGGTTTTTAATATTTCTTATTAAAAAATACATAAACGATTGATTCTATCAATTGTCAAAAGACTCAAAGAAGATACTTCCATCGGAAAGTGTCGCGTGACAAACAAGCTTTCACTTCACTGTCGGTTTTTGCGGCCTAAAATTGTCGTTTTGTTTCTTGTCGAGGTGGAACTAGACATATATTTAGACAACAGGACTGTTCAAAGATCCAAGGTGAATGGAATTTTGATGTGAATTACAGGAAGCAAAAACTTCAACAACTCGATCTTGCAACTGCTACTGGAGAGTAGACTAATAGAAAAGATTTATAGGAAGAGAAAGCCTTTATATTCTTCGTAGGAGTTTCTTGGAAATCTTCATCAGAAATATCTCTTTCTCGAGGATATACTCAGAAGATCGATGCATTAGTCTTTTTTTTTGTAGGGGTGGGGTGGGAGGGGGCGTATCGTGTTGTAGATGTATTCGTGTTATTCCTTCGAATATTGCCATGCGCGGTTTCTTCACGCATTAAACGAAGATAGATAAATCACAGCTTAAATTATGAATCGATAATCGGATAAAAATATCATTGCTTTAAACCCTGTTACGCTCTTGAGTCGCTGAGAGGTCGGGCATATTGTGGCTCCCACTATGAATAATTAAATAATTGGTATACTTAAAGTACCCTCCTAATTATCTAACTAGGGCGACCTCGATCGACAATATCGAACTCAAACGCACGTTATTCTATTTGTTTTTGTTGTTGTTTGGTTGTGTTTTTCTAAGCTGTCATAATCCCAAGGAAACATAACATGTCCTTCCTCATTACAAAATCAGAAAACTACTGTAAAATCAGTGAGAAAAATTTGAACAAAAAATAATTAAATTTCAGGTCAGATCCCCGCTTGGGCCAGCTTGGTTTGAATTTCCGCTCTTATCAAAGAGACTACTGTTGCGTTCACCACTCAATTCGCGAGAATTGGCATTTACTCGCGCACTGAATGAGACAAGGGAAGAACGAGTAAAGAAAAAATACATATACATAGAGATCCTAGCTGCAATAATTTATTTTTATTGTTTACAACCACACACTGCAACAACAGCTTGTTGGTGTCTTGCCGAGAAAGTGAGGTTTTACAGACATTTTTAACTGAGTGTGGAAAGCAATTCGGGATTCCATTGGTTTTGCTTTACTTCGCTCTGTGATTGGTCCAGAAAACTTTCGACACTCTTAGCCAATCAGATGCAAAACTTACAAGAATGCAGACGGCAGCGAGGTATAAACGTTTTCCCGCGCCAAAAGCAGTTAGCTTGTTTACACTTAGAGGAGTTCTTAGTGGTTTTTTGTATGTTAGCCTTTGCTTTGACTGTCTGTTGTGAAAACTTTGGTTTTGATTGCACGATTCTCAATTTGAAAGCGATCTATAACGGACAGTTTGATAATCATTGAAAAGCTTCCCTCTAACAGAAAAAAAGACTCCCTTACAGTTTATTGGCAGATCTTTAGCTAACTTACAAAATGCCACAATGCAAAAACATTTACGTAGAGCACACAAACACAAAAACTCATCTACTTAAAAAAAGGGTTGGTTTTCTGACCCAGCGTATGTGACTATACCTTTGATTCTAAAAAAAAAAAAACAAACTTTCATTTCCTCCAAATGGTTTATCCTATTTAGAGGAGCTTTTTATGAAATTTGAGCTATTTTTGCGACGTGAAAAACGGCATTCGACTTGAAGGAGGCTACAGTATATAAAAATGGTTGCTAAAAAGTGAAAACGCAAGACATGATATTAAACCAAGAAGGAACATGGATAGCCGAAGATGGAGAGGGTTCTTAAAGATCGGAAACAACGAACTTGAAAAAGTTGTTCACAAGCTGTCAAGTTGCCTGTCAAAGAAGCGCTAGTGGTAATGTGTGACTAAAAAACTTTCTTCACATTGGGAAGACAGCCGGCTAGAATTAGAAAGCGAGGCACGCCAAGAGGATTAACAGGAAGTGTCGGTGAATGAAAAATGAGAACGATCGTGCGTTCAACATTCCTCTCAGAGAACTTTGTATCTGCCAGTAGACTGAGGACCACGGAAGGAACCCTGAGGGAAAAGGAAAAAATAGTTTTAGTAACTTACGCGGACATAGAAGAAAAAATGAAGTCATAGTGGGTTTTAAGTTGCACCTTTTATAATAAAATAGCAAAGAAGTTTAATTGTGGCACAAATTTGGTGAACGTCCGTTGCGCTATTTAAGGTTAAAAAATATCGCTAAAGCCTTGCTTCTAGTTAAGATTCAAATTAGAACTAAAAATGTTTTCCAAGCATTACAAATGTGATTAAGCAGATGACAAGGAAGCTGTTCCAAGGAGTGAGTGCTCTCTGACCTAATTTTTTTTCCTCAAAAAAATGTTAAGCAGAAAAGAGGAATTAGAGACTCCAAGAATCTACGAGCGTAATTCGTTTTACTTACCAATCTAATCATTTCTTCTTTAACGACTCGTTTTATTTCTAATTTTGCCAGATGGATTGAACGTTCAGAAGGACCTGGAAACGAGCAAAAGGGCATAAATGAGATTTCAAAAAGAACCGGGGCACCAGTCGACACCAGGCCTCTCTCCATTGCTAAATGACTCCTTCTCCATAGTTAGAGAGGGCGATAACATTCTACGCATCATACTTTGTTAAAATGAATACACAAAGTTGACAATTTGCGCATGACCTTTGCTTACACATCGAATCTTTCTGATCAGGTACTAGAAGTTCTTTACAAACTGCTAATTTTAATGTATTTTCGTTACCTTTCTGAATTTCAATAAGTTTTCATCGCATTAGTCTACTCACCCTCAATGTATAGATATATTTTTCTTTCGCCTTCTGCCTTCGGTTCTTTCCCTAAATATTAACGTAAAAAAATTTATAAGAATTTTCTGTGGAACAGGGTTTCTTTGCTGAGTTTATTTTAATGCAACCAGAAGCATTCATCCTACGTCATACGCTTCCGATGTAACTAGGAGCACATTTTACGGTTTCTCTCTAAAAGTGTCAACTCATACAAGTACGGTTTTAAGAGACCTCTTTTACTTGAATAATTTTTTTTTTTATCATTTCAGGTCTTAAGAAAATTCCCAGCTTTACCTTTTAAAAAATTATGAGTAAACATGCATGTAAATAAGAGGAAATTTGAAAAGAAACAGTTCTCTAGAGTATTATCACATGACCTGAAAGAAGTGTATTAACCCTTTAACCCCTAAGAGTGATTAGTAACCATTTTCTCCCATCAATATCAAAAACAAACATTGAGGTCAGGAGAATTAAAGAAATGATCACTAACTAAAGAAGTTCTTGATTGTTAAACAAATTCTCTTTGTCAGTGCCATAGGAAATGTATAGAGAACAGTATGGAGAAAATATATACTGATGTTAGGGTGTAAAGAGTTAAAGAAAGCCAGTACAAGACCTGGAGGGAAGAAGGTTCCACGCACAGTAATGGCTGCCTCAGAAACCTCCGTGATGTTCATAATAGTTTCCTAAGGAAAAACAAAAGACAAATGAATAAGTTGACTAAACTATGGACAACAAGCGAAACCAAAGCAATCCTGGAACAATTTCTCGAAAGTGGTTTTGGTTCCCTGTTAGACTTCTCACCTTAGAAGTGACTTTCCACCGAGCTGTTTGAGGAAAGTCGTTGATCTCCACCTCATCCTCGTACCGCTGTTCTTCCTCTGTTTTTTTCTCATCTTGTTTCACCTCCTCCACTGGAGCTTCGTAGCCGATCTTTCCATGAATCTTTTCGGCAAGTTGCTTAGCTAGACCCAGGCCCTAACAAGAAATCGCGGATTACATCATACCTTAAAAGTTGAAGATAACCCTTTATTTTTCAGTCAGGTGTTCTGTTTGTTCTACTCTCGTTAGAAATGCTATTACCATCTTTTTCCGAGTCTCAGATTTACCAGCTTTCCTACATTCCCTCTCTCTACAAGAAGAATATCCTTGGTAAAATATTCAACGCATCATTGGAAGTTCTGGGGTTGGCACCCACACGGAAAAATCAGATTTTCCTTTGCTCCACCCACGTGGCAATTATTTTTACTCAATCTTTATTTATGTAACCCTTTACTGTTTTTGGTATTAGAAAAATTAACCACTCTGATTGAAAACAAGCGTGACAAGAATATGTCACGCAACATAGCGTGGGTGTAGCTTCGTACTCACAGTAAGAGCGGTAACAGTTCCTCCCTTGATAATCTGACTGGCAGCTTGCTGAGTCGGATCCATATTCTGTGAAAGACAAAAAAATCACTTTGACACTACCTTGAAAGACATAAGGTGGGAATAATCCTGAGAAGAACTGCTGACGGTTGTAGTTACTGACTTTTCGACAACTTAAGCGGAAATCATCGCTGCCTTAAGAGCTCTAACCATCTCACATAATTTCATAATAAAGCACAACTTTCCACTTCATATTTTTGAGGAGGGCAAGCACCCCAGAAAAGTGACCCACAATACTTTGTAGCACGAAGCGACTCAGAGTATTACCACTCCCTCCTGGATGAGATGTCAGTCAATCGCAGATTAGCCCCCAGCATTAAGTCATTTTACTTTGTCACTTTGCCGATATCCTTTTAAATTCTGAGAGGCACTGTGAGACTAAAGTGTCTTGTCTAAGAACACGGCACAATGATCAAGCTAGGCTAAGTTTCGAACCCAGACCTCTCGACTCGGGTTAACCGTTACACTACGGCGTCTGTATCTTTTCGAGGGAGAGGAGGGGAGGGAGGAATAGGAAAAGGTAACTACAAAAGAGGGAACCCGTTGTACTCACGTTCGTCCCGGCGATAATCTTCTGATTGATTTTCGCAGCAATACTTGTGGCCAAGTTAAGTTTTGCTGAAAAGCACAGACACAGATGAAATAATTATTTGATCAGTGGTGGAGGCGGATTAAACACATTTTAACGAATAACACACTCATATTCACCTTGTTGCTCGCCTTTGATTTGTTCCCCTTTGGCTTCAGGAGCGGCTTTTTTGATATGAGGTTTGCCTTTACTAAATACTTCCTCCAACTTTTTGTCAATCTGGCGGAAAAAAGTCGAAAATACACGTTTAGGACACTAAAAGCTGATTTGCGTGGTTCATAATAAAATAGTCATGAAGTTGGGCATGGTTCCCAGGTGCTAGAAACCAATCTTATTTTCCTGACATGGATCAACTAGGAACATCCCTTCTCCTCCTGAATAGCGCGCATGCTAATCCCAAATAACAAACCCCCCTCCCCTCCCCTATCCACCTAGTAAGGTCTCCCTGACAATTTACCACGACCCTTTTACACAACACAACGACCCAGTAAGAGCTCCTACTCGAAACTTTCGACATCGGAGTAAAGCGTGATCGACGTAAGGCCACCGCCTTTAGAGAACACTCACTTCCTCCACAGCTTTCTCTTCGGCTTCCGCTTCATCATCTGAGTCTTGAAGACCAAGAGCCTGCCAAAGACAAAGAAATAAAACTCACCTCCATACAAGTGACAAAGTGACGTTCCTATGTTGTTATGTTTACATCGTTATATCACCAGTGCAAACCAGGCTATGACTTAAACTACAGCGGAACATGTACACACCCATTTCTGTATCTTTTTCGCCTCGTTAACCTTAGCCTCTTCTTCCGCGTTAAATTTGAATCCTAGAAAAACAGATCAGTTAAAATAAATTATATTTCAAAAGCATGAAGGACAAGTACTTTTCCTCTGAAGCAACTTCGCGTACGAGGGCTTCAGCTCATTTGAAGGCAATCAAATAAGTGTTAGCGTGCAGAACAGGGTGTGGCTAACGCGCTCGGCTCGCACTTCTGACTTGCTCGCGTGGTAAGCACGCGCGGCAATACACGCGCGATGGGAAGGTGCGTATTTTACACCTCATGCTCACCACGCGCGTATCTCCGCTCACCTTAAAACTGCACCAAATGACTCCTGCCATGTAGCCTTATTATGCTAGTCAACATATTAAATCTTTAATTTGATTAAAACAAACCTTTTCCGGTGAAGCCGCTGTTTTTAACTACATTCTTTCCTTCCTGCAAGATAATTAACGTAAGATTTAATTAAAGTAGAGAACTTCCTTTATGAGGGTTGCATAACTCAAAAAAACCAAAGTCATCATCATAACTGAAGCCAATTAGAAATCAAAACTCTATGTAACTGGCCTAAAGCGCGGGAAATGCACGTGACCGAGTCACGATTGGTTTTCATGTTACGTCTGATTGGTTGTGAGAACGACGCTTGTTTCCTGGACCAATTAGAGAGCTTTTTGAAACAAAGCAAAAACAATCCCGATCACTTTCGACAATAAGCAGAAAACTGCTCTATAAGCAAGTCCTAAGTCAACCGAACCAACTTTACCTTTCCCTTGAAAGAAGTAAAAAGTTAGTCCATCTTAAGATACCATTTAGGTATGAATTCTTACCGCCTTTCTCTCTTCTGTATAGTCGTTCCAAAGCTTACGAAGATCTTCTGGAACCTCTGCACCGGACAGTTCCAAAGCCTGGAGAATTTACGATGAGAGAGACACACACATAAAACGACGTTAAACTGTTTTTATCTAAAGTAAAAAAATACATACATTACCAAACCGAGAGATAAAAACTTAGTCCCTTCAAATCTTGCTTTAAATCCCATTTCACTTTGAAATAAAACCTCGTCGCTAAATACTCTCGACATTTACTGCGATTTTCAAGGCTTGTTGGACAAGCGCATTCCCTGGGTTATATGTTTGTCAATCGTAGAATAATCGCCACCATTTCATCATAGTGCCTTAATAATGCGCCATGGCTCATTTAAGCTTCTTGTGTACTCCTGCACACAACAACACACCATCATGACCTGGCCAGGACCCCTCGACTGGAAGTCCAGCGCACTAACCATAACGCCAACGCGACTTTCACTGCCTGGTTCATGGAAAACTCAGGTTATTTTTCTCAATTTGAGCGAATTTTCAAAACAGAATGTATCCAGTTCAGCGCAAGCTGGTTTAAATGAGGTCCTGTATAATGAAAAATTTCCAAGTTTGTACCTTGACGACGTCACCCGCATGTCTGTTGAAAAGATAAAAAAACACATAGGCTGTTGAAGTTAAATAACAAGCTGAACAAAAATCTTCGATAATTTTCGCGTGAACGATGGTCTTACCGTCCTTGTTCAGGAGTAACAAATGTATAAGAGGTTCCTTTTCTACCAGCACGGCCAGTACGCCTGAAAAAAAATTACTTTGTTTTTACAAGAGAATACTCTTCTTCTTTATATTGAGACAAAGTCCAATGCGTTCTAAGGACATAAATTTATGAGGGGATAAATTTAAGACCTGACAATGAAAAGGTAATTCATTCGATTGTTAAACACTTTTTTAACCTAAACATCTTTCAAAACGGCTGTTGTAAAGACGAATTCTAGCACAAAGATAAACAGGATTTGACACAATATCAGCTCTTCCCTCTGAGATTGGCGAGAATTTAAATTTGACGGTCTCTCTAAAACAACTTGTTGTAAAACTGCTGTATTTCATTTTAGAGAGCGTTTCCCTGGTGCTGGCCCGAAATATATTTTACTAGTGAAAGTGAAACATTTCTCTCATTCACCGTTGACCGAAAAGGCAATAAAACAGGCAGGAAAAAACTGCCGCACGTGGCTTTTTTCCCGCCTCTTTTCGCTTGACTGTCACGCCACACAATCGATCTAGAAGCAAAACAAAAAGAGCGAGGAAAAAAAACCCGTATATCCAGTTCCCGCCTTCTGTGGCTTGTTGCATCAAAAGAAGAGGTACAGATAAGAGTTCACCTTTGATAAGGTAAGTCCTAACTCACCCACATCGATGTACATAATCTTCATAGTGATTCGGACAGTCATAATTCACAACCAAGATCAGCTGTTTCACATCCAGGCCTCTCGCTGCCACGGAGGTTGCAATCTGTGGGACAACCGAGAGAATTCGTGAACTAGAGCTATTGTATCGGCTCAGAGTCCCGATAAACACGTGGGGAGACTTCACAGTTTCAAAACAAAGGTCTAATATAAACTTAATTTCTAACATAATATGCGGTGGTCTTACCATTAAGTTACAGACGCCATTTTTGAAGTCCGCTATTGTGCTGTCACGATCAAACTGATCCATGCCTGACAAAATAGCAAACACGATTTTATTACAATCCCAAAAGTATAAATGTCAAAAATCCTCAAGAATGCAGTTTGAGAATAAGTTAAAACGTAGCTTCTCTGGCTGTGTGAGTGAAGAAAAGGGGAGGAGGGAGGGGAGGATCGGGAACAAAATCAGCTTCTAAACTACTGCTTGGTTTATATAAAAAAAACTGTCTCCCCCTGGGAGGGTGAATGAATGCTATTTATCCTTGTCACTTCCACCCCTCCCCAGAAAGTAGCTCTTCGTAAGGTTTCCGTTAAAGAAAAGCACTGGGCAGAGGACACCCGTCCCGTCGAACGAATGTGATGATATCTATTAAATCGAAGTGATGCGTCCCAAATTATCAGTTTGACAAAAGTGTAAGCCGCCCATACAGAGAAATCCACTCTTCGCCTCTTTTCGATTGTAATCGCTCCACAATCTTGAAGTTCAAAGAGATGAGGAAGGTTATTGCAGTTGCAATCCTTGTCTGCAAACGCCACTAGTGTGGTCACACAAGACTCAATCCAAAACCTAACCGAGGAAACCGCGTTACATTACCTCCATGGAGAGACAGACATGGATAGGACCTTCTCAGCAAATCTTTAAACAACACATCGGCGTTTTCTTGTTTTTCTACAAACACCAAAACGCTACCTAAAGAGACGAAACATACACGGTGAGAAACCAAACACACAGACAGTTTAGCAATAGAAATTATATATTTTGATTAAGATAATAATATAAATCCTATTTCACTTGTTTTTTTGTTTCGGTCGGTGCGTGAATCCCTACCATTGTATGTACGAGCATATGTGCATGCATACGCATGCGAGTAAGCGCGTGTATGTATACGTTCGTATACATATGTATGTGCGTCTGCAATACATATTTGCGTATGTTATAATTTGGGTTTGTGCGGTCTAAGGACGTGTGTATATGCGTATGCATATTTAACAATGTTCTGTTCTTCTGTTCAGTCATTTCCCTTCGCGTGTTCATCTCGATATCTCACGAATGACTGAAGAGAACGAGTGAGATTTTCAATTGAACAAGAGAAGAGAAATTCCATATCAACGAACAATCATGTTCTATTTAGTTTATCATATAGACACCATAGGCTTTACTGACAGTTGTCGATTTTCGTCCTCAGCCGCGAGAAATGCCATTAGTAAAGATTAGTCACTTTTAAATTTTCGTTTTGTTTCTTTGTTTTTTTTCAGTTTTGGCTTTCTTCAAACACAACTAAAAAAATATTACTGCTATTTTACATCATATATAGCTATAGAACACTAACCGTCCTCCTGGTAAATACCAAGTAACTCAAGTAGCTTTAAGAATTTGTCGTCTTCCTCAATAACAACCTAACAAACAGAAGACACACACGCGCACGTTAAATTAATAATGGCATTCGGTTATATGAACATAAAAACCCTTTGTCAGCCGCATTAACAAACTACATGGAGAAGTAAGTCACGGAAAGCAGATAATTCTTGTTTACGCCATTAAAAGCATGTATGAGAATAATGACCCTAACCGCGTTTGAGATTCAAAGAGCAACCGAACCTTTCGAAAATTATCCTCAAATGTGCTTCAAATTCCTCAAAGGAGGCCACCATTTTCAATCTCGCTTAGCAACCTAGTGATCTGTTTGAACGTTAACCATTTAACTCCAAAGATTTCATTTGTAATTCTCCTTACTGTCTGCCATACACTATGTTAGTTTGGAGAATCTGGAATTGAATCGACCAATAATCCCCTAATTGATATTTTTCTTTATTCTCATAGCTTTTCTGCTTGATATCGTACTGATAAGTGTAAAAAGAAATTCTGTCAATGTCACTGGTGGGACTTAAAGGGTTAAGGGGCTACACGAAAAAGTATTCTTGACTGAAATAATGATATATTGCGAAAGCCAGAGCAGCAGTTGTCTGCGAACCGGGCGTTTTGCGTTTGCGTGTACGGTGAAGTTAATGAGCTGTTTTTAAAATGGCTGCGTCCATGATTGGATTTTTTTAAGCGTATGATTTTTTTACCCTATGGAATTAAACTTCGTCTTTGTGAGAATTCTTACCACATGTTGTGTAACATCTGAACAAACAACACTTCGACCGCCAACTTGTATCTTAAAAAACAAAACATTTCAAAAACTTTAATTAACAACACATTCACTGGGTCCGAAATATCAACAGTTTCCATAAAAGAAGACAATATAAAGCGACGCAGTAACTACAAGTTCAGGAATTAAAACCAAAATTGACTTAAATATAATCCGTTTATAAACTACGTTTTTTTTCCTAACCTCAATTGGTTTTATAAGGATCTTTCGGGCTAGAGCTTCCATCTGGCGAGGGAAAGTTGCAGAAAACATAACCGTCTGCTTGTCCGGTCTGATACAGTCGATAATTCTCATCACCTGAGTAGGAGATAGGAACAAGAATTTTTCATCATTAATCTACCTGTCCACGCTTTTGTATCGTTTCTGCTTATTTGATTCGAGCTTCAAAATGGCTTAACCCTTTCGCTCCCTTGATCTCACTAGTAATTCTCCATACTGTCTACCATAAAATTCTTTTGACGTTAGTTCGGAGAATTTGGTATCGGATCAACGAATAATGATATTTATCTTTGTTCTCATCACTTGTGCGCTTGATGTTGTACGGATATAGTTAGGAGAAATTCTCTCTTGGTCACTCATGGGAGTTAAAGGGTTAGATGATTTTTACATATCCTCTTACCTGGGACAACACTTCGCGTGAAAGAACTTGCAAAAACTACCCTGACCACACGACCATTGGAAATGACTTTCTATTCTTTTGAAGTAGAAAAAACAAAGACTGCCCAGATGCAAAGGAAAACTCCTAAGACTATGGCGGCAAGTTCATAACTTAAAAATAAAAGAGGATACTTTTTGGAGGATGAAAAGGCTGAGTGGTTTAGAGCGCTGAACTAATTAATTTTTCTCTTAGTGTCCCAAGTTCAACTCTTTCCTATTTCACCGCCGACAAAATCACTGCGACCGAAGTTTTTCAGAACAACTCGCCATGAATTAAATTCTCTTTGACGAACGGATGAAAATTAAGCAAAGAAATGATCCCCGTTGGTGAGGTACAATTTTAACAAAAGCAGGAAAAAAATCTTTAAAAAATTCAGGATTCACGTGCCTTCCAGATACTAGTTGAGCGCTACTACCATCACAAGTTATCAAATTCCGATGCGAGAGAAAGAAGAACTCCCTAAAATTTGCCTCGCTCTCAAAATGAGGCTTTGTAGCTCAGTTGATAGTAGCGTCCAACAAGTGTCTGAGAGCATGGGTTCGAATATCGTCAAATCCTGGATTTTTGCAGGCTTCTTTTCTGTAATGCAAAATTCTCAGTCCACCTGCGAAGATCGTTTCCTTGCTTGATAGTTTTTTATGTTTTTGTTGTTCTACCTGAGGCTCAAATCCCATGTCAAACATTCTGTCGGCTTCATCCAGAACTAAATACGTGCAACGTCGACAATTTGTCACCCGACCTGGAAGAAAAACATTTGGCTTATCAGCTGGGGCAACTAGTCCAATTGTTAACTAAAAGCAACAATAAAAACATATCGTTATCGTTTGAAATTACCATTATTCGCCGTCAGCATGTCTATCATCCTGCCAGGAGTGCAAACAATGATTTCTGCTCCACGTTTGAGCTCTGCAATCTAATGAAAAAAACCGTTATGACCAAAAAAATTAATGGAGAGGACTTCAGCGAGGAAAATCAACAGACGCTCAGGTAGGTATTCCTTCATATTGGGCCCGTACAAATCCATTTTTAACCATTGACACATTAGAGTGACCAGCATCTAATTTCTCTTTACAGTAATACTGTTGAATCATTCATTAAGATCATGAGAATAAAGGAATTGATCACCAACGTAAAATGCTTTGATTGTTAAACAAATTCTCCTTGTCAGTACCAAAGGAAATGTATGGAAAAAAGTATGGAGAGTATGGATACTGATGTTAGGGTGCAACAGGTAAAAAGAATTCGTTTTAGTCTCAACCAGTGAACCAAAACGAGGAAAATCTTTCGCCCACACTTTTTGTTTGCTCTCACCTGAACACATCACAGCGTTTTCATTCGAAAAGCATACCTTTCGATGCGTTTTCACTAATTGCCCACATTAACCCTTTAAGCCCTAAGAGTGACCAGCTACTAATTTCTCCTTACATTATCACCCCTGAATCAAACACTAAGGTCACGGGAATCAAGAAAATGATCACCAACTTATAAAGCTCTTGATTTTTAAACAAATTCTCCTTGTCAGCACTTCAGGAAAAGTATAGAGAACAGTATGGAGAAAATGCATACTGATGTTAGGGTATAAAAGGTTAAACGCCCGAGAACGCCAAGGGAAGCGACGAAAAAAGGACATTTTCTTCACCGTTTTCAAAAGCCTCCAGTTCGCATAGCTCAAGACCTTATAGTTTTTCACGAGCGAAAACCAAATTCCCCTATCTGAGAGGACTAAATTCTCCCTGATATAATTACAAACAAACATTACAAGATTTTAAATAGGATTCTACTCCTAACCTGTTCGCTGATTCCTGTGCCACCGTACACACAGACAGCTCGCAGATTAAGAGGCTTGCAGAACTTCTTACACTCTCGGAAAATTTGAAGAGCCAGTTCTCTTGTTGGAGTCATAATTATTCCTGTAAGTTCAGAAAACAGTTCGAGTAAATGCTACGTGATGCTGATCCAACAATATTTTCTCATAATTCAATGTACTACCAAATCACATAATTAGACTTAAGTTCACTGTGAGGATTCCTAAAGGAAAAATTAATAAAGGAAGCTGTTCGACTGATTGTCCATCAACGAAAACCAACAGCGAATCAACAGCTGTCACTCAGCCACAACGGCCAATCAGGAGTGAGGTTAGCCTTACAAGGCGCCGATGAGAATTCAAAGGGCGGGAAAACGCAAGTGACCAACTCACGAACGTTAACAGTATTGTATCGCATTTGAGAAGAAAGAACAAGTTTTCTAAACCAATCAATGAGCGAAGTAGAGAAAAACAATTGCACTGGAGAGATGCTTTTGAAAACTTGATCTTTAGAGAGCTTTTCGAATGAGTGTCGTAAAACCTCAACTAAAGCAATAACGGCCAGTCGGATGAAAGATAAATACCTTTAAGAGCCAATAAGAAATCAAAGTAAAAACAAACAAAATGCTCAAAGCGCGGGAAAACGCGGGCGACCAAGTCATGATTGGATTTAGTTTTGCATCTGATTGGTTGACAAAGTGGCGCGAGTATTCTGGACCAATCACAGAGCGAAGTAAAGCAAAACCGAGGCAATCCCAGATTACTTTCGACACTCAGTTGAAAATTGCTCTTTAGTCCGATCTACATTACCTATCGGTCCATCCTCCCTATCAAGTTCAGGCTGGTCAAGAACATGGCGGTACATTGGCAGAAGAAACGCTAACGTCTTACCACCTCCTGTTTTAGCAATTCCTAAAAGAAGATCAAAAGTAAACCAATAGAACTGTGAAAAATGCTCTTATGATTTAATCTCATCGAAGCAGGGTAGCATCATGAAAGAGCTTCATTTCATGAGAAAAGTACAACTGCGAGTTGGAGTTTTTCCGACTGCGAAACGGTGGGCGCGTGCGTGCGTGTAATGAAGAGTACAATGATGCGTCATGAGGTGTGTACTTTCTCATTACTTCAATTCTCGTACTCGTAATCAAACTTTTATTAGAATCTATAGGTTTCTTTCATGATGTCTCTTCTTACCAATCATGTCTCTACCACTCATAATGGCGGGTATCGCTTGAGCTTGAATTGGTGTGGGCTTCTCATAGCCATTCCTTTAAACAAAACAATTCTAGAAATGTAAGTAGCCTCAGTAATAATGAGGGGCTTTTATACAGGGTGTCACAAAGGCCGATCAAAACAAAGGACAATGTACGAGGAGCCGATGAGGATACAGATTAAATCAAGTACCTCCGCCCTGAAGGGCAGGTAAACTGAGGCGATTGACAAAGTCACAATTTGTTTAAAAATTCGCATCTGCTTGGTTACGAAATTGGCGCGAGTTCTCTGGACCAATCGCGAGGAAAATACCACGAGGAGCTAATGAGAATTCAAAACTACAACATGCAAACGGTCCCAAGCGCAGGAAAACGCGGGTACCCAAGTCACAGCTGGTTTAAGTACCGTGCCAAATGACAAGAAGAAAAAAACCTTTTTTCTCTATATCTTACTTTGTTGCCCAACTGAACATGAACACAAACTTACTTCTTGAGAACATCAAGAATTTTCAGGCTCACTCCCGACTGGGCCCATGTTTTCACAGGTTTTGGACAATCTTTGCCACGAACTCTGATGTTTTCTTGCTTTGCACGGTATTCATCAACCTCTGAAAACAAACAAGAAAAACATTTCTTTTTTTTTTCCTAGGTCATAGCCATTTCATCAGAAACTGTAAGGAACAGATCAGTCAATTCTGACAAAATCGTGATTTCTCTCGGGGCTGGGCTAAGCAATTAAGTCTGCCAAATCATTACAATACTTCACTCGAAACATTAATCAATTGAAAGTGAGGAGAATTCTATAGAAATGATTCACCAATCAAACAAACTAACAAAATGACCAACCACTAGCATACCTTCTTGGGTCATTTTTGCAAGCTCCGGAACTTCGACGTAAAAATTCTTTCTGAATGAAGAATAATACACTTTATCATGATCAACGGCCTGTAGATCCTAAAAGATACAAAAAGAAAGAAGATTCATGAGAGAACAGCCAAATGCAACTTGAAAATCTTTTCAAAAAAATATCTGAAGTTACTACCGATGCAGTTTTGTTGACAAAACCCAAACTAGGTACGCATGATTTCTTCAAAGCTCTTCAACTGAGACTGTCCCGTTTTTTCTCTTTTTTGGTACTTTTAAGAGGCTACAAGAAGTTTTTTGGCCCTGAGGGCCTCTCAAAATAACAACTAATTCATGCGTCAACACACCTTCCGCGAGATGAAGCAATTTTCAATTGTGTTGAAAGCAACCCGGGGATTGTTTCGGTTTTGCTTACTTCGCTCTGTGATTGGTCCAGAAAACTCGCGCCACTTAATCAAACAATCAGTGCAAAACTAAAACCATTCACGACTCCTTCGGCCGCGTTTTCCCGCGCTTTACGCGGTTTGCTTGTTTTTACTTTGAGTTGTCATTGGCTCTTCAAAGCATTTTCCGTTCTTCTTATTGGCTATTTTCATTTCTTTGGTTTTGGTTCCACGACACTTATCGAAATAACACTCTGTGAAGCACGAGGGTAGTTTGGAAAGAACAAATGACGGGTCGTTTGCCTTAAGGAGAAATTAACGCCTATACCATTATCTCTTTTGCAGAAGACTAAACTGTCTTAAAAATACCTTCTTTTTCTTGGTTTTAAAGTGTGCGTAGGTTGACTCTATGGTTTCGTCTTCTTTTTCTTCTTCGGAGGAATACTAAAGACAACAAATGATAAATGTGAGTTATTTAGCGCCGAGTTCAAGATATTCCATAAAATGAATTGGGGGGAAGGGGTTCTCCTCAAAGGAGCACAGCGGTTAAATGTGGAGGGCATGCGTAACTGGGCCAATCTCGGCCAATCTCAGTTGAGCCCAATAGAAAACGACCTATGACTGAATAAGCAAGTACAAGTAACTATTATGGTCGAATCTTACCTCCAGTGCATCTTGATCATTTTCCATTAATTCTCCTTTAGTTGGATCCTTAAAAAAATTGAAAAAAGCATCATAAACATAAAACTGCTTTACTCACTGGGTGTAAAGAGGCCAGGTAAGAGTAAATGATTGCGTCTAACAACACAAAACAATGTCCTTGCCGGAGCGAAAACACAGATCTACGAGCCTAGAGTCCAGGACCCAGTTGCTCAAAGGGCAGATAACGCTATCAAACGAATAAATGGCTATTCAGTGGATAAGTGTTAACAAAACCTACTGTGCTATCCAGTAGATAAAGATTTATAAAATGGATAGCGTTATCCACCCTTTGACCAACCAGAGCCAGTCAGCTGACCATAGACTACTGCATTTCCAACTAAGTTATTATAAAAATTTACAAAGCAATAAGAGAGTTTTTCACCCACCCTCTTTTTTGGTTTTGTTACAACATGAGTTATAACTGTTGCCTTTCCAGCCTTTCCCACTTTTTTCTTCTGATCCAAAGCATTGATTTTTTTCACCTGGTAAAACAAAGAAAGGTAGCATGGTGATCAGACTATAGCAGTCATCATGCTGATAAAGATGCAAGTTCACTTACGTATTCAAGTTAACATTACAAAGGTTATCGCAGAAAATACATAATCAAAATTTGAGTAAGTTGAAAATGGTTTCGAGTTGAAGTTTTGTACCCAAGGGGCACCCTCGTAAGTAAAAAGCTCTAACTATAGCTGCAAAGACAGAATGCTGCATTTTCAAAACTTCTATGCAAACTATCCGTCTAAAATAATTTTTATCTCCTAAAAGGATGTGCAGCTCTACGCTAGCCTGTGTAACAAGTGTTATTTTTTGCGTTTTTTTACGCTTGCCTCTGTTGACCAAGGTCACTCATGGGAGTTCAAGAGTCAGTTTACCTCTTTGCTAACATCAGCCATGAAAGCATCCAAGGGATCCACATCATCATCTTCGGGCTAAAAAAAATGAATATTTGCTTCATGTTAGATTCAATGCAGTTCAATTGGGACTCAAAACTGTAATCATAATTAAGACACGTTTTTAGTTACAGTGGAAAAATAAACACAGTGGACTTACCGGTTCCTCTTTGATTTTTCCATTTGTAACACTCGCCGGCTCTTTTTTGTCTGCAATAGAAGTCAAGATTTGCAAGAAGATCTAACAAATCAACAGTGGTTTAGCGTGGTCTGCACACTTATCGACAACGATATTCGTCATTACAGTGAGTCCGAATGTCATTGTTGATAAGAGTGTGACAACGCTAAACCATTGTCAATTTGTTTTTTACCACTATATCGACGTCAAATAAAACAATCCTTTCAGCGCGTGACACGTTGACGCGAGCAGCGTCTGTTGTGGAACAACAGTCTGAAATTAGGCATTTCCATCACATTATATAAAAGTTTTCATAAACATGCTAGAAAACTGTTGTATTTCTGATGTTTTAAAATCACATTGATGGACTTCATTTTTGAGACTTTTTCACTACAAATATTGTACTAAGTTTACTGCAAATACATTATCCACACAAATTTTTTTAAATCCAATGGAACCTTTATTAAATAATGCTACTTACTTCCTAAGAACTTCTTTTTAGGCTCATCATCTTCATCCTGCATAAAAAGATTAATTCAGAAAATTGAAACCAAATTTTTTTTTTAGTATGAATTGAGATGAGTGGTTCCTCTTTAAATATATCTGATCATTACTGCAGTTTCCTATTCCTTCAACCAGTGATTAAACTATTTGCTATATTTGTGAGAATTCCTTCAGATTCACCAGTACCTGATTTATATTCCTGAGTAAAGAGAGGCAATGTGAAAGTAAAGCTCTGTAGCTAAGAAATACAAGTATAAGAAAATGACGAAGCTGAGGATTGACTTTGGACCTTTAAGTCTTAAGTTCATTAGACAAAGAGTCTCTTGCAAACCATGTTAATTATTGCTAATTGTTGATCATAAATTCATAATTAATTTGTTATAATTGTCAATTTATTATTGCTTATTGATTTATCATTAATTATTGTTAATTGAGCTAACCTGCATCTCTTCCTTAATTCCTTCTCCTGCCTCCTCTTCCTCTTCCTCCTCATCATCGTCATCATCATCTTCCAGGCTCCAGGCTTTTTTCTTCTTTTGTTGATCTTTACTTGTCATTTCTTGTTGTTGTTTCTCCTCTTGCTGTTTTTCTTCCTGTTCCTTTTTACGCTGAGCCCTCCAAGCCTCGATTCTAGAATATTCCCAAAAGCCAAAATGAGAATATTTCAAAAATTTACTCAGAATTCCACACAGATTGATAACAATAGAACACCTGAGAGGAGTTCATATAGGGAGAATTTGATTTGAGCTGAATATTTTCCCTCTGGCCCAACCAAACTCAGTCGATTAGTATTTTATTGTACAACTACTAAGTGACAAAAATATCAAAAATTTTGTTTCAACTTTAATAAGTCATGATGGATCAAACACAGGACAACCACAAAAAAGATCCTAAAATAAAGACATGCCCTTTATTTTTCTCTAATCAGAGCAAGAAACTCACAATTCATCAGAAATGTACCTTACTATATCATTTCTCTTTGCCCTACTCACATCAACTTTCATTCTAGTTTTCTACAGGGTAGCACACACAGTACAGGACAGGTTATATGATGATAGTATTTCAGATTCCCTTCAATTTATTACCTTTCCCTTCTCTTCTGCATCTCATCCTCTAATCTTTTCTGTTCTGCATCCTGATGAAAAAAAACAGAATCAACATTGGTTGTGTAACTGAATCCTTACCAGTAATGAACAGAATGTGGTTTCTGATTGCTATTAAAAATACTCTAAATAAATATTCCAATACATAGAATCACTTTCACATATCAAGCAAAAGAGACACAAGATGTAAAAACATTTAATTCATTATAATTCATAAGATGGTAGAATTTTTCCATGCAACACATTATTATAAGTCAGCAATATTATTTTAACAAAACCTGGTACATATTGAAAATTTAGCCTCAGTTGGATGCTTTGGTAATGGTTTTCTTTTAACCTTTTAGCCCCTAAGAGTGACCAGCATCCAATTTCTCCTTACAATATCACACCCTGAATCAAACATGAAAGTCATGAGAATAAAGGAGATGATCACTTACTAAAGTAGCTCTTGATAGTGAAACAAATTCTCCTTGTTAGCCTCTTTGGAAATGTATAGAGAACAGTATGGAGAATATGCATTCTGATGTTAGGATGTAAAGAGTTAAGTTATCAAACTCAACATAGAGTTGCTGAACTTACTTTATCATCCTCTTCATGTTTTTCATCAACACTTGAACTTGTGGTTTCCTTTTTTGACTAAAAATAAAATCAACTGTAAGGTAGAGAAACACACTGACAAACCAAAAAATGTTTCCTTTTGTTGATCTTTCTTGAAGAAAGAACAGTTCCATCAATAACAATTTTTATATCATAAATTAAGTATGGCCAATGACAACCAAATAAGCCAACCTCCTTTGACTTTTTAGTTTCTTTGCTCCGATCTGAATTGTCATCTTCCTCTCTTCTCCTCTTGTCTCTGCTGACATGAGAATAAAAATTAATGCATTAGATGGTAGAAAAACACAATGCAGCATCTGAAGGTCTGAGATTCCATTCCTTTTGGGGAATAATCCTTAATCCTTCACTTGGGATGAGATAAAACAAAGAAACATTATTCTAACTTCTACTGACCTGCTTTTGGACTTTTTTTGTTCCTTATCTGGACTCCTACTTTTTGATCTTGCCCCAGGAGAACTTGAGCGATCACGGCTCCTTGAACGCTTTTTCCTCTCCTTCCCCTTATCTCTGTCTCTTTCCTTACTGCGAGGCCTCTCCTTCTTTGATTTCCTTTCTGCACTCCTGCTTCGTGAGCGACGCTTTCTCTGCTGGCTATCCTTCTCCTTATCTTTTTTCTTGGGACTACGGCTGCGACTTCTACTTGATGATGCACTGTGAGAAGAGCTGCTTTCTGATCGTTTTCTTTTTCTGTCTCTTTCTCTCTCTCGCTCTCGTGGCTTTCGGCTTGTTTTAGCTCTTCCCTTTTCTGGGCTCCTACTACGAGATCTCTTCTTTTCCCTCTCCTTATTTCTTTCTCGACTTCGAGAGCGCCGAGTCCTATCTCTACTTGATGATCTGGAACGAGATCTCTTCTTATGTGACCTATTCAAAACACAGGAAATTATATCTTCATGTTCATCAAAGCTGTTAAAGTCTGAAGCAAAACTAATCATTCACTATAAATGTGATAAGTCTGGTTGTCTTCCATAATAAACTGCAACTTCAAATGATATATTGGTCAACCTGCATCACTGTCCATACCTCATATTTAGCAATTGTTTTAATGAGAGAAATTTTTTCTCCAACATGGCGAGGAAAACTGAGCACTGCATTGCAAGTTATGTCATTTTTATGATCTAAAACCTTATTGACAGTGGCTCACAGCCAATGAGAAAGCAAGAATTTTTACAGTTATGGTAAGATAATCTTTAGACATAGGCCAGCATGCAATGAGTTTTTGTTCACAAACCTGCTATCTCTACCCATTTGTCATTAAGTGAGCCACCAAGGAAAACTAATGTTCAAACTTGAGTTTGGCAGAGGAAGGAGGTTCTGGAAAAGTAAAATATTCCAAAACAAAACATGGTCAGAGAAAAAATGAGAAAACAGAGTAAGTATGATGTTTATCATATCTCTAGGTTGAAACAAACTTTTGAATTTAGCGCACTGTACAGCGAAATACAGACCACTAAATTGACCACTCATAACGCACAGACAATAATACCATCCAAGTAACCGAGATTTAATTGGATTAAGTTTTGATGTTTCTATAAGAGAGTGGAGCAAATTTCTTGACCAATTAAAGAGTATGAAAACAAAACCAAACTAAATCCAGATTGTTTTCGACACGAAATTGAAAATATAGGTCAACTAATTTCACCTTGGCTGTCATGATCCCTCTCTATATGGATTTGCACGTGCAAATAATTTTATAACTGACTAGCTGGATTAAGTAAATTTTTTTAAGAGCATTTATCCATGCAATCGAGACTTTGAGAGAAGAAGGCCTCTTGAACCTTGCTACAGCACGAGAGCAACAAATGTAGCATGATCCATCAAATATATGCATTTTCAATCTGAGATGAACGCTCATACAGCCATCTTGTGTATTTCACCGTGAGGCAACTCAAGTCACAAGATTTCACTCTAGATTGCGCATATACTTACAGGAAAGGCTGTGTCCAGCAGCAACAATCGAGGGTTTTATATCATGGCCATATTTTTCAAAGTCACATTTGTTACTTTCAAATCACTAAACGAAAAAAATCCAGAACGGATGAAACGAACTGTAAATGTGAGAGCACACGTTTGGTCAGCGTTAGACTTATCCCCTAAAAAGTGCTTAGTGTAATCGTCATATAGTGATGTGGTAGATTAGTATAAGGAACAACATGACTTCAAAAATATAATTTGGTGTTAATAAGTACGACTACATTTTTCAAAGATAAAGTAGTCTTTGAAAAATTTACAAGTACTTATTTGCACCAAAGTGCACGAGAAATCATGTTGTCACTTGTTAATAATTCACATGAAGAACGCGTCACTAAGCGGAGTCCAATTCGGTCTGTAATCATACTAATGACAAACCAAAATCGGACAACTGCGAAGCGGGAGTCCGATTTGTCAATCACGAGTATGATAACAGACAGAATTGGACGACTCGAAGTCCTGTTACCAAATAATCATAACTGTTATAATTTCCGGAAAAAAAGCAAAAACATTTAGGACAAACATCTCCAGTAGAGACAATGTCTAAAATAAAAAAAAAATCCTCCATTTCGGAAATTCCCCAGTTTTTCTTTTTCAGGATAAGTACTTATTGTTATGGTTATTGTTACCAATTTTGTGATTAGTGGATTTAGCTGAGTGGACTTAGCATGATTGGCTGTTTCAACTGTCCGATTACAGCCAACTGTCTGATTACACTGTCCGATTACAACTGTACAGAATGATTAGTGAAAAATAAAGCAGATTGTAATGGTTATGATTAAATAGAAAATAGACGATCCGTGAAGAGGCTTTCTTAAATATTGAGATCAAATTTTATGAAATTACTTCTACACCGATTATGTACGTAGTAAACCTAGAAATGGATAGCTCGCTAAAATAGGTTCTTTTCAACATATTAAGGGGTCAGATAACAAGTGATACGCTGTGAAAGTAAGGTGAGGCATTTTTTATTGAGAATTTGACCGTATTTTTTTATTCCTAAAAGCGGTCGTAAATATTCCCCTACAAACTCTTATAATTTCGCCCTAACTCTTTTCATGATTGTTACCGTGAATCGTTTGTCTACATCGGCACGTGGCTACTGTTGAGTACGTCACGTATGATCGCGTGACTAATTAGCTCCCGGCCTAGCTGACCGTATCAGATGCCAAGGATAACGAAACAAGACTCGCTTCACTTCCAGCTACGCGTAGCAATGAGCAATAAGTTAAAGCGAGCATGGGCAGCTTACCAAAAGTACAAACTGATAACACGAATCATTGCAGCCTTCGCTGGTGCGATCGCAGGAATCTCTGGCTTCGTAGCCTACGTGAAAGTTTACCAAAACTACAACGCTGCAACATGGGCCGCCATTTCGGCAGTCTTTGCTATTTTGTTCCTCCGCATTAATTTTTCTGTTCGACGCGATCACGAAAGACTCATTACAAGGGAAACATTTACGTTATACATGTGTGCTGGTATAGTCGCTTTGGTGGCTGGATTGGCTGCAACTATCGCTTACATTGAGCTCGGGGTGAAGGATAACGAAAAAGGTAAGACAGACTGATAAAAGAGCAATTGAATATATTTACTCACACGACGCTATCGACATTGCTGGTCTTTGCAGCGCTCGAGACGCTCATTGGTAGAGTAATGGGGCGCGGAAACCGCAGCCTGTAAGTACAAAAGTCCCTCATTACATTTGAGCACCTTACCACAAGCGGTTCAGTTCGTTTGCGGTCTTGAGCAACCCGAGCCGGCGTGAGGTTTTGCAAGGTATCTGCTTTTAAAAAATGTGCCAAATCCCGAGCAAACCTTTACCGAACTCGTCTCAAATATTCCATCGGACTGCATGAGAAACGCGCGTCCTGAAGCGCTATTAATGAAGGCTTACTCATACGCTGCGAAAACCAGTAGTCTGATGTTCGATTCCTCATGGGGAATCATGCAGAATTTTTTCTCTGTTCCCCGCTCGTGACATGATGTAAAATCATCTTTCTTTCAGAAAACTTGTTTTCACTTGAACAAATAAAACCCGTCACCTGAGAAGGCGAAGGAAGTTCGAATAAGAAAGTACTTTCTCTTGCATCCAGTTGAACGAACGTTGCACTTAACAGCCAAGGGAATTTATTCGAATACTTTGACTTTCAAGAGCAGTGAGCTTTATTAAGTAAACTTTTGATGACAGTTTAGTGCATGTCAATTATGTGTTTACAAAGGAAGCCATTCCCCTGCTAACGTATTCTTTCAAGATCACAGAGGAGAACCTTTTTCGCGTGTTGTTTATGGACCTTTTCACTACTTGTGTGCACCATGTTTCCATCTACGCCAATAAAGGGTAAATATCGCATGCTGGGAATGGTAACCTGTCTGAGCGCCCGTTTAGTACAGGGGGGTACCACTAAGCCGTTGGGAGACGCGGTTCCCAATTGTTAGCACGCTGAGCTCTGGGTCGAGAGTAATAGAAAATTACTTTATTCCCACAATGCGTCTCTCTCCACCCAGGAGTATAAATGGGTACAGGTACAGGCGGATTGCCAGGGAGGCCTGATATAGCGCTGGTGGGGTAACCTTGTGATAGACTTCCATCCCATCCAGAGGGGAGTAAAACTTCCTATAGAAACCGAAATAGGCTCCGGTTGGATGGGTCGCTTGGGTCGAGTACAGAATTAACCTGCTTTTTACTCGACTAAAACCTCCCATATATTCACTTTAAAATATGAATACGTTTATAATTTTTACAGAAATAGCTGCCGACGGCTACCTGGTGGTGTGTATTTGGACTATTAAGTCTTTAAGCTGGGGTTTCTTCATCTTCATGTCTGCAAGGAAGTTTAAAAAAGAGTACCTTGAATCTTCTCCTTGTTTGGTGCAAAGTACGAATCAAGTCTAAAGGCTGACGAATTTTTATGCAAACACAGAGAATCAGGCTGAAATGTTTGCATGATTTTGTATATACTAAACTGTATAAGTCAGTGGATCGTTACGTACAGACAAGTACAGTTAAGAGTTGTTCAAAAAGTATTAATTGTGGTAGAGGATTCAGGGAGGAATTTTGGTAAAATTTGATTCAGTAATTATTTAGCGACAACCGGCTGTAAAAAATTGCGGTTGTATACGTGGTGTATAATTTTCTAACTTTAAGGGCAGACCCAAAATTTTGGGAAGGGGTTCGAAACTCAAAATTCTTCAAAGAGAAAGTTGTCTTAAAGTTGCTCAAAACGATTCCACAAAAGGCAACCTAGGTTTGCTTTTTATATTACCCAAATAAACAAGGATTGTAACTATGTAACAAGATCACCTAACTCCCCCCCCCCCAGTTTTTTCGATCCAAAGCAAGTTATGCACTTTTTGATGTGGCAATCCCTTTGACGCGTGTTCCATGGTTTTGTTTTGTTTTGGTTTTTTTTCGCTGAAGAGCAAACGCGTCACGCGTTGAAATGTTGCATGACAAGCGTTACCCTTCCCATGGTGCGAAGAGGCACATGGGTAATACTTACGCCTTGTGGTAATTGCGTAAATATATTTCGAACGAGTGTTTTGCACGAGACAGTGAGCATTGACTTGCCCCTTCAAGACGCTATGGGTGAAACTCGAACGCGGGTATCGATAGGATACAAGAAGTACAAGACAGTTTTACGGATAATTGGAGCAGTTATTGGTATTCTCGTTGGAATTGCTGGATGCGTAGTCTTTGCTGCGATTTACCACAATTACAACGCGGCTAGCTGGGCCGGTGTGTCAGCAATATTTGCGAGTATTTTCCTACACCTCATCGTTGCTGTATATCGCGATGTCAATAGGCTCTTTTCAGTGACAAAATTTACCATTTTTGTGAACATCGGTTTGGGTGGCATGATTTCTGGAATAATCGCGTTCATAATAAACATTGCCTTTGGAATAGCTAAACACGAAACAGGTTAGTATATACAGTACATATTTAAATCAAGTTTTAAAGGTGCTTGAATTTTCTCAGTTATGTTTAACGCCAGTTTGTTCAGCATTTGCTCCATGTTTTTATTCATGATGCAATAATGAATAGGAGGATTGAACGCTGTTTTATTCGGCACGAGGTCATGCTATCTTCCCATAGAGTCCGAAAATAACTCTTTCAATAAGTACTGTATCAAATAACAAACACCCGTTCTTTTTCTTCCTCACTAATTGCATTTTGCCTCTGGTGGATCCATACTCACATTACTTGCCTAACAAAAGTGGTATAAATAATATTTGTTTTAAATCACATAAAAGGTTACGGTACTCAAGCTTTCAGTAACAAAGCACTTTCCCCGTACTCTGAACTAACTTTTCTTCCTACGTAATGATCTTCCTGTTGCCTAACCCCCCAATGGGGGGTTGGATGACTTTGGAGTGTTAGCTGACAATTAAATCACTGTTCTTTTTTTGCTACCATGAGTGACCAAAACAGAATTTCTCCTAACATTATTGACATAATGAACCCTGACTTGTGAATGATGATCAAATCACAATCCACTCAGTTCAAATACCATCTTTAATCTTCAACCCATATGTTGTTGAACATGCTTTAAGATCTGAAATAAGTAAAGAAAGAGCATTTTGTCAAATTTCTTGACAATTATCACATACTTCCTCCAGGTAACAATGATGATCATTTGATAACTGATCTATGATTCTCTTTTTCACAGGAGTTGTTATCACAGGGAACTTCATAGTGTGTGTGTGGAACTTTATGACTTTCAAGTGGGGCTTGTTCACATTCTTGGCAGCAAGAAAATTCAGAAAGATTTATTTAGAAGCAGATCCTGAAATGGGAGGTCTGGTAACTAGTGCATAAAGAGGTAAAGATGTGCTGTATTCAGCTACATACAATGGTAGTTGACCTGACCTGTGATCAAGCTAGCTGGAAATAACTAGCTGTGAAGTAACTAGCTGTGAAACCCTTTACACCCCAACATCAGTATGCATATTCTCCACACTGTTCTCTGTACATTTCCCAAGGTGTTGACAAGGAGAATTTGTTTAACAATCAAGAACTTCTTTAGTTGGTGATCATTTCCTTTATTTGCATGACTTTAAGGTTTGATGGAAAGGTGGTGATGTGAGGAGAAATTAGAAGACAATCACTCTTAGGGGTTAAAGCTTGAAAAGTTCATCGAAAGCCTGAGAGATCTTTTGTGCAGTGAATTCTCAGTACAATGATAGGCTTGGCAGGGTCTGAAATTTACGTGACTGAAAATGGGTTATTGGTGACCGGAATTTCAAGGCTAGGCACCTGCATGCAACAAGCTGTAAGTCTCGCAAATGTTGTTTATGAAAAACAGTGTTTAAGGTACAAAGCATTTGTAATTTTGATTTGTTGCATTTGATCCAGTCAACTGATGATGAAAAGGAATTGTTATGTTTTAAGCACAAAAGCATTTCTAAGACTTCACCACTTTTATTTTTCTGTTTTGTGGAACCTTTACAAATCACATCTTTTTGTGACCAAACAATAGCATTTGGCGATTGAAACAAAAATGTTTAATCAACACTTGGCGTCCTGGTACAAAAGTGACTTCAGACCCTGCTAACTAGTACATGAAATAACTGATACATAATCAAGATGATAGAGACCCATTCAGGGTGAGCAATGGGAGTACAGAGCCATAGCAAAAACTCATGAACACTGATGCTGGGGCCAAGTTGGAACCTGCCCTTAAAGTAGCTTTCAGCACTCCAAGCTGGGGATGATAGTTGATAAAAAATTTGGTGAAGAGCAGCAGAGATGCCATTTGTCCAGTAGACATGCTGTCAGCTGTAATGTTTCATTATTTAGTGTTTATGGTGCAGAGTTCAACTCAGTTAAATTTTGGCACACAATAATGCTCAGTCGTACAAAACCATGAGATGTCTATAATAGATTTCTTATATAATTTGATAATTCTGTTTTGTCTCTGAAAGAAGTACAGAACATGGATAGCCTATCAGAGATTTTGCTTGGCAGTAATTCTGTTTTGTCACTGAAAGAATTACAAAACATGAGATGTCTGTCAAAGATTTCTTTTAGTAATAATTCTGTCTTGTCACTCAAAGGAGTACAATACACAGATGGTCTATCAAATATTTCTGAAAGCAATTATTCTGTTTTGTCACTCAAAGAAGTACATAACAGCATGTATGTCAAAGATTTCCTTTAATAATAATTCTATTTTGTCACTTAAAGAAGTACAAAATATAGACGGTCCATTCAAGATTTCTTGTAGCAATTATTCTGTTTTGTCACTCAAAGAAGTACACAACATGACATGTATATGGAAGATTTCTTTTAAGAATAATTCTGTTTTGTCACTCAAAGGAGTACAAAATTATTTAATTTCACTCTGACAGGCTGAAATCCCAGTTATATTGTTGTTAATAGCAGCAAAAATATATTTTTTAAAAAATTGATAGTTTGGTACTGTATGGGTTGTTCAAGTTTTACTTATGACCAGCACTAACTACTGGTCCTTGTTTGACTTCCCTGAATTATTTTAGCCTGCAGAACAGGCATAAATTTTAAGTGATTTTCCCAATGGCTTTTGAACAAAGGGGTTAGGTCACTTCATGCTGTGAAAACTAGGATAAACTCTGGCAGGGTTCATCACCTGGCTTGAATGCAGGCTTTCAATCAGGTTTCAAATTTTTAAATGGCCTTGTTGCTCAACATGACTTCAAACAAAGTGAGAAGAGGTCTGTTTAACAACACAACTCTCACAGCTACTGTGGCTTTTCCAAGCTTTCATAGCTTGAAAATGTATAGTTACTCCCCTCTGGATGGGAAGTTAGTCCATGGCAAGTTACACCTCTTCCCCCCGCCCAGCAGTTTGTCTAGTTCCCCCTGACAGTTCACTGGTACTCATTTATTCTCCTGAGGGGAGAGAGGCCTATTAAGAGATAAGTACCTTCCTTAAGAACACAACAAACAATATATGCCATATGGAAATTGTGTAAACATTGTCTGGTAACTTGACTTTCCTGTTGTTTATTTCAACTTTATTTCCTTCAAAATGAAAAATTTTCATCATACCTTGAGTTTCCATATGATGTTTAAGGAATGTAAAATTCTCCAAACTTGTGTGAAAAGAAAGGTTTGGAAGTCAGAGAGGAAAGTATATCTTGTTCCTAATTACAGAAGGACATGCCACCTGTTGAAGGCAGATAATTAAATTCAAATTTAGGTGACTGATTTGGGCTTTTCTCTTTACTTTATGTCATCTTTAGAAGTTTTTACTTGAAGATTTCAGTGATTTAACTTACTTCTCTGATTGTAAAAAGTTACAGCTCCCTAAATTATAGGCTTAAGTCCTAACTGGTGTTTACGTGAAAGTTTCATTATGGAAAAGCCATGAAACTAGAAAGTTGTGTGATGGCAAATTATGTCACGATCTTTTGTTTACTGATAATATGCAGCCCCAAATACACCTGTTATCATGAGTTTTGCTTTTCGCCTCGTGCGCCCCACGTGTTTCGAGAACCATCTGGAGTAAACATGATTTGCGCAATATAGCTGCAGTGACGTCAAAAGTTTGAAAAGCTTCGCGATGATGTAATGGCGCGACCTGTCGAAACAGAGGCAAGCTGCGAAAAATGGCTGCCTTTTATCGATACTCTTGCTTATGGCACGGTTGTGGTAAGCAGTGCACTTCCTTGTTAGATCTAATCGACCATATCGAAGTCGTCCATATCGAGAAAGATCCAAGAGTTCTCGAGAAACAAGAGGCTGCCCAGCCACCGGCGCTACCTTTATCGTATATCAATTGCTTCTTCACCGATGCAGCACGCAATGCTAAACAGAAGGACCCTGTTTTGTCCGCCACGGAATCAGCCACGCCAAGCCCAGAACACAATGTTTTAAAAAAGAAGCGGGTAACCCCTCCTAAAATATCTATTCCGACATTGAATACACCAGATACGCTTGATGGGGGAGAGGAAGATGGCAATATGAGTGACAATAGCGACGATTCTTGGACTTCTGATAGTTTTGCCAGCGACCTGGTATTGAACGCCGTGGCAACGGATGATGGCGAAGGCAAGCGATATATTTGCCCAGTTCCTGGGTGCGGAAAACGATACAAGAATGTCAACGGAATAAAATACCATGCCAAGTATGGTCACAGAAAAGACTCGAGCAGGCCGAAGCTGAAAGCTTTTAAATGCCATTGTGGGAAAAGCTACAAAAGCCCAAGTGGCCTTCGACACCACGTAGCAACGCAACATCCGACCGGGCCAAAGCATTCTTTACCACAGGAACTTGAAAATATGGCGTGAAAATAAGGAAGTTGTGTGAAAAAATTGTGGTGGCGAAAGTTGACATATTTCGTGAACATTTCTTTTCCCACTGGGACTCACCGTCGTCTTCAAGACACGAAACAGCTGTCGCCTTAAATGGGTTACATCCTTTATTCATCATTTTTTTTAGTATTATTGATGAGACTTTCCAGCCGTACTGATCAATTCCTCATCGAAGAAAAGAGAAACCAGCGGATTTTAGCTTTCGAGTCACGATCCTTAGGGAATATGCGGTGAGAAAGGGGTAATCAGATTTCAAATAGTTCGATCACTTGACTCGTTAATGATTTCCTTCGTCGCTTCTTTGGTTGGACAGCGCATTTCCCTTTTGTCTGATCAGAGCATTCATCAGACTCTAAAACTGAAGATGGAGAACTTGACCGTGTTTCGCGGCATTCGCCAAAAAGAGGAAAGAAACTGACAAGGTATTCGCTAAGTTATTGTTTTAGGTTGGTTTAGATTCTCGGTGAAATGTACACGGGTGACACGAAATGGTTGACGGTGACATTCGTTTAGTTTTCGTGTTCTTCCGGAGTTATTTCCACTAGATTAATTAAGTCTCTACGCCGTACAAAGTCAGTGGAATCTCTTACCATTAAAGATATAGTTTTATTTATGAAAAAATGTTAATTATTGTACAGTTTCGACATCATGCCCAGATTGTAATTAGATTGAAACAGACACTGGTTTTAAACGCGTGATGGTTTTTTTCAGCTCCCTTTCACTTGGATGTCGTTCCATTTAGAGATTGTATATAGATTAACTTATACTGTGAACACAAAGTTTTAAATGGATCCCTAATATAATAAAAGACAAGTAAATAATTTATTAATTATAATGGAATGTTTGGTGGATGTCTCGTTTTTCTTTTATGTATAGTGTTTCATCTCAGTAATATTACTTTGCTCTTAATTAACCTCTTGTCAAACAAAATATTGAAGTAATGGAAATGTCTACTTTAGATGAGTTGATAACCCTTTTAATCTTTAACACCCAAACATTAATGTTAAAATTCTCCTCACTGTTCTCTTTACATTTCTTGTGGTATTGAAAAGGAGAATTTGTTTGACAATCAAGAGCTTCTAAATTTGGGATCATTTCCTTTATTCTCATAACCTTTAAATTTGATTTAAGGGTGAAACTGTAAGGAGAAAATAGATGCCAGTCACTCTTAGGGAGTTAAAGGATTAAAGGAACTTGCTTAGGGACTTATTTTGGAGACTGAAAATGAGTCTTCTAGATGAAAATTTGTGGATTCTATGCCTCTAGGAGGGCTCATCATTAAGAGATTTGTAATTAAAGTAGAACTGACTTAAATCAAATTGGGTCTGTGGTCATATGAGCATTGAAATAAATTGCATCAAAATGGGATTCCCATTTACCAGTCATGAGTGTGATGCAAGCAGGACAGGGCAACACAAATGTATGTGACAAATTTGTCAGAACTGTGATTAAAGATAAGGAAGTAAAAAAAAGTAAAGACTTTATACAGGCCCAAGTGGCCCATGAGGCCAGCGCTGAACTCTGGTTCCTTTAGCATGAATGGCTAGGAGTATTGCTACTCCTTCCTGGATAGGATGCTAGTCCATGGCAGGGTTACCCCCAGCATTTTTGCTGGTACCCATTTGTACACCTGGGTGAAGAGAAGCACTGTGAGAGTAAAGTGTCTCGCCTAAGAACACAACACAATGACCCTGGCCAGGGCTTGAACCCAAACCACTCGATCCAGAGTCGAGTGCACTGACCATGAAGCCAGCACGCCTCCACAAATGTAAGGAAGAAAAACATTAATTGCCAAATATAGACATTGACGAAAACATGATGGTTGACTTTTTCTACCAGAAAACTATTAGAGAGCTCTAACCCCCTTCAATGAAAGTATTAAGGAGGCACAACCAACCCAACCCCCCTCCTGCCACATATTTTGTTGTAAAAAAATTATCACAATTGCAGCAAAAATTGGGTTTGGATTATGATTAATTATGTGATTTTTCCATGAATTGTGTCATCAGGATCATGCCTGATGAATAACATTTTATTTAGATTCAAATTTGATTACAAACACACTGGACACCATAGAGATTGTAAAGAGGTTTGCTTTTGGAAGAAAACAAAACCATGGGCATTCAGGGATATTTCAGGAGGGGCATGCACAAGGCGTGGTGAACTTAATGCTGCCCCCCCCCCTTCTTTCCCTTTCCCCAAGATGCAAAGAGTTCTGACACCAAAGTTAGTGGTTTGAAACATATCTGTGAGGCACTTAGAGCACAGCATGTTTAATCACAAATACTTGTTGAAAGAGCACCCTCTTATGACTGAAATATTATCAAAGAGTAGGAATTTCAAAGTCTAATGTATTGACCTTGCACCTCCCATGAGTGACCAAGAAACAATTTCTCCTAACAAGACTTATACAATATCAAGCAGACAAGAGATGAGAATTAAGAAAAATATTAACTAGGGGATTTTTAGTTGATTTAATACCAAATTCTCCAAACTAGCATCATGAGAATTGTATGGCAGACAGTAGGGAGAATTTCTAATGAGATCTTGAGAGTAAAATGGTTCAAAGGAGAGCACTTTCATCACGTTTTTTGATGGATCTTATGACTCGGACTTGGAGCAAAATAAAGAAAAGTTAGATTCAGTGGCTCAGCTATTGAGCAGAACAATGCTTTTTGTCTTTCATTACCCATCACGGCATGCATTGGGGTAAACAAAGGTTGTACTGTCTCTATCCTATGTATACAACAGGGGGGGTCATCTCTACCAAGAATGACACATTTATGGGTAGGAGAGCATTAAAGTGTGTGAGAGAAGACACTCTGGAGCTACACTTAGAAGAGTGTCCTGGCAGTGCAGGGGTTCAAGCATATTATACCATCTGCCATTAAATATGTGTTGTTATAGCATTGAACCTTGTTTGGTGAATTTGACTTTTACCAAGAGAAATCTTCTTAGCTTTTTTAAAGCTTAAATCTGTACTCAAGTAAAATGACCCATCCATCCACAGCTGACTTGGGTATTTCTTCTCTCCCTCCCTCCCCCCCCTCCCCCCCATGGAATGTCAGTCCATTGCAAGGTTACATATCAGTACTTCAACAGGCCTTCCTTACAATAGGCTGGTAACCATTTATACTCCTGAGATGGGAGAGGCACTGTGAGAGTGAACACAATGGAGGTAGAAAGGATGTGGCTAGGTTGTTCCTGGGGTGCCCATAACCCCCCTCCCTCCTTTGTAAGGCATTTTTTGTCACATTAAGTAAAACATGGCATGGATGTCAACATAAAAATCTGGTGAGTACCCTCTGTTTGACACAGAGTGACCCCCTCTTTGAAAAATCCTGGCTATGCCCCTGGGTAGAAGGGTGAGAATTTCCAACTACCCATACCCTATTCTTTTACCTACCCGACCTTTGCCTCCCAAATCTCAGCCATTCTACCAAAATGCCACCAGGTTGACCCTTTGACCCTTTTACCAGCATCTTAGTTTTTTTCTTTACAGTATAACCCCCCGATCACATATTAAGGTCATCAAATGATCACCGACTTAAGAAACTCTTAATTGTTAAACAAATTCTCTTCATCAGCACCTTGGGAAATGTATAAAGAATATGTATACTGATGTCAGGGTGTATTAAGGATGACTGTTCCCATCTTGCATCTCTGTTTATTATCTCCTGTCTTCATTATGTAACTCACTTACCACACACCCCTCTCCTGTTCTTTTCCTGCCTCTTTTAATAGGCTATTTTACAATTGGGTACTTAGTTGCCAAGCCTTTGATTTGGAGTGAGGCTGAAGGTGACCTTGTTGTGATAGAGACCAGTATCCAATTAGCATGATAACAGAGTAATTTGCAGCAAGGTTTGTATCATAACAAGGTCACCCTTAGCTTCATTCCTGTTCAAAGGCTTGGCAACCAAGAACACAACTGTAAAATGGACCATTGACTTCCATCCCCTGTCCCTCATCTTGACGTGAATAAATTACAGAGCTTCATTTCCATGCCCTGAGTAATCTGAAGACATTTTAATGCCCCCCATAGACATTACAGTCTTTCAAGTCATTCTTGATTATTTTTAAGCTAAGTCTTTTTAGCTATGTAATAAATCCTTTATTGACCAAGATGGCTGGATATTAGCCTTGTCCTTTTTTGCGTTCTTATAGACCTCGACTTGGTCTCAGTCCCTAAAAACGCTAAGAAAAATTTGGCCAATATTAAGTTGCCCAGTATTTATACAAACCTATTACGAAGCCTTACTGCGGGCTATCGGGATTTGGGACATTTGGGTATATGGCATATTTGTGTAATATATGTGTGAAACTACAAATTGATAATTATTTCCACTTTTGTGGTGTAATTAGTTTCTAGTTCGTTACGTATTGTATTTCTCTTGTTGGAAATTTCATAGACGTGCATGAATGAAAAAATACCATTTCTGAGTTTAGCTGAACGAAGATACAAGAAATCGTGTTAACATGTACTTGTCCTCGATCGTTTTTACCTTCACCTTGCATATCGATGGACCGGTCGTATTTCACATCATTCGGAACCGGCAAGAGTAAATATTTTGACCATTTTACGGCCAACGGTTGAAATTTTGGCCATTCTATGGCTATAGGTGAATTTCTATTGTTCTAAAACACATTTACATTAAAAGCACATTTGAATGTGATCCTCTTCAATCTCTTCCATCATTTATTACTGCCTTGCGTTTTTAATTACATCCAAGAACTTTTCCTATGTTTGCTCAATCGAATTAACCTACATCTTCTAACACCACCACGTGTTTTCGCGGTAAAATTTCGGAAAGAACAACAAACGCGCCCTTTGATTGGCTTAGGAACGCACTTTGCTGGCTTCCATGTGTAGGTCAAGATATGGAGTCATCTTTCAATGCAAATTTTTCACTTTGTTTTTGTTTTTTAGATTTCTGTGTTGTGGCCGAAAAATTAGACAGGTGCAAAAGTCTGTGAATTTTTGCAGCTGCCAGACACCAGAGGCGATTGATATACGAGTGGGTTTTTTACACAGTTGGGTTATAATGCCCATAAACGATAGTAAGTGGGGTCTATTGCTCAAAATGACAACAATTTAATAGCCAGATTGCGAAAATGTTCAGTAAACATTGAATCAATTCCTGTTTTCAATTCAAAAGTTTAAAATCATTTTGATTCTGAAACGAAAAGTTTATGTGTGTGTGTGTGTTTGTGTCCTTCATGTCTACATTGTTCATTGGTTTCCTATTATCAGACTCTTATCAAAGTTAAGCCTGACGAATACCGGCATCTTTCCTCGTCGGACATCGGTGATGGTTTCCTTAATCAGGGCAATACGCTCTTAATTAGCGTACCCCAAATTTTACTAATTAAAAAGTAGAGCGCTTTACAATAAATAACAAAAAATTTGCCTAAATCGTGGGAAAACCTGGGTGACCCCATCGTGATTGGTCTTACTTTTACATATGATTGGTTAAGAGAGTAGAGCGGGTTCTCTGGGCCAATCACAGAGCGAAGTAAAGCAAAACCAGTGGAATTCCAGATTACTTTCAGCACACAGTTAAAAACTACTCTGATATCTAAAAACACATTTTTCGGTGAAAACATAGGAGAGTATGGAACGTGGCTAGTGAGGGTTCAGAACGAACATTTACATTTTCAGACTTAATAGGAAAACGAGTCTTGCAAATTCAGGAGTCGCTTTTACAGAGAGGAAATCCATCAGAAACCCATCTTCATGTTTGAAATTCAGGAAATTCAGCCTTCTGATAAAGTTCAGATTTTTTCGTCGTGCTTTGAGGAAGAAGCGACCTCTCGCTATGTCACTGATAGAGAATCAGTGGGATACGATAAAAGCTCGATAGAGGAGAAATACAGATTCAGTGGTCTGGAAGAAGATGACCATGAAAATCCCAGTGACTCTCAAATAGGCCAGCTTCACAGCCCTGTGGGCTGTTTGAGAGACGATGATATCCAAGTTGGTAGGACCTGCAGACGTGACGAAATGAGCCCAGCCAAGCGTAAATATGGTCTACAAGACGTTGAAGGGCAAAACATGATTGAGAGGATGCCACATAACAAGGAAAGGGGTAATCCAAATGGAATTTGGCATTACCAGTCAAGTAACTTACGAAACCTGGGAAACAACCAAGAATGCTGTAGTTCGCTTTACCAAGCCAGCACTAAAGGATATTCCTACAACCAAATTCAAGACAGAAAAAAAATGAGCACCAGCAGCAGAACCGTTGAGGCGTTCTTGGGCCAAACACGGCAAAGAAGAATGGGATTTTGTGGAGGAGAAACAGCACTAATCTTGAAGCAACAGGGAGAAATCATCTCGACTCCCCTACCTTGTTTGTCTTGGTCACTCATGGAAGTTAAAGGGTTAAGTCGCATAGAGGTTTGTGAAGAACCAAATCTGCGTCGAGGGAGACGAACTGGAGTGTGCCTAGAAACTGATGAAACTCGAAAGCATCGCACTTTTAACCGCGTTTTAAGAAAACGTTTTTAAGACGTTAAACTCTTTACATTATGTATATTGATTTCATTTTGCAAGATTGTATTGCGTCTGAGGCATTTGGAGCGAGCTAAGTTGTTTTAGATCAGTTTCCAATTGATGGTCGAAAAACCAAAAGCCAAGTCAGAATCACATCAGCCAATCAGAAAAGAGGTTCATACCATCATTAGCCAATGAGAGCTCAATGTGCAAGAAAACTGTTTGAAGCGCGGGAAAACACGACTGAAAAAGTCATAGTGGGTTTAAGTTTTTCATCCGATTGGCTGTGAGGATGGCGCAAACTTTCTATGCCAATCACAGATCGAAGTAAAGCAAAACCAAAGCCATCCCGGATAATTTTCGACTTAATCTCTTACCCAGATCCTACCGTGCAATTGTAAATGAAATGTTTACTTAGCCGCGGAAGGTCTGGGTACGAGACTACATTCGACCATCAATTTTTTTGACATGAGGTAAATGTTACCTAAGGCCCTTGATCTTACCATCGTGAGAGGGAGGTGTAAGGAGCTGGAAACCATTAACTCTTTCCTCCCATGATAGACCCTTTGACATAGAATGAGAGAAGGCTCTCATTATTAGCGTTATGGTATATGACACCAGGGTTTCTTAGCCCTAGGGGTCTGGCACTAATAGCTATTAGTGCCAGTTCGCTGTCTCAAATCTTCCCGCGGGCGGAGAAACGCGTATTCTGCAGCGCCAATAATGAGGGCCTGGTACCAGACTACCCTCGATAACAAAAGAAATGGTAAAAATATAAATATTTATTTGATATCTTCTGTAAAGGTATATAATATTCGGATCAATATCAGTATCTAAGCAACTGCCCACCTACCCCTCCCCTAACTCAACAACAGTCAATTGACAACAAGTTAAGGTTAATGTTGGGTTAGGGGAGGGGTAGGTGGGCAGTTGCCCAGATACAGATATTGATCCTAATATTCTATCAAGTGTGCAAAAATAAATGATATGGATACCGTTCGCGCCAGTTTTCAATATGTACATCGTATAAGTCTTAATAATTTGAATTAAAATTATTGAACTACTGACTGCTATATGAACTTTTTATTTTTATACCATGGCATTAACAAACATTGCTCCTGATTTAAAGTCCTTGTATTTCCTCTGATGGAATGTTAGGCCCGAAATGATTGGAAATCACGTCCATAACAAGGCATTTTTCAGAAACTCAGAGCACAAAACGAATGAATGAGGTTCGATTTCTCATAGGGACTCAGAATTTTTTCTTTGTCCCACGCCAGTGACGAGACGAAAAACAACTTTTAATGGGGCATCTTTTGTTGATGTCTACTTCAAATCCTTGCTATCATAGTGGCACACCACTCACATGTGTTTTTCCGTTAACCATTTGGTGATTGATTAAACTACCCCTGCATATGTTCTCACTAATTTTATCAAATGTTGGCTTGTGAAAGCGCATTAAATTCTAGTCCCTTCTGATTTCGTTTCTCTTTTAAACTGTACTCTCTTCTATTCATCAATTAATTATCATCATCATCATCATCATCATTATTATTATTATTATTATTATCAAAGAAGTGATTATTCTTATTATTCTTATTAATACTGTGCAAGTTCTGTGTCATGCGCGATGTTATTAGTCAGCGGATTTCACCCATACGTTCTCTCTTATTTCGTCGCCATCTTTGCTGGTGAGTGTGAGGAATATTCAACAACAATCCGCTTCCATCGGGATCGAAAATAAATCATTTTAAGTTTTTTTAGTACTTACTCTCTTTTGAAATCTCAAACTGTTCGTGACTTCTAAACTTACAAGAATATCACACAGTAATAGAGCGAGCAACAGTTATGATTTCAGCCATCACTTACATACAATTTGAACGTGTCCTTCCAAACCTTCGTCTTTCTTTATTTTTTTGTGTTGTTTTTGCGTTGAAAGTCTGCCGAATGCATCTTTTACAGATTACTCCATAGTCATGGGGAAATTCATCAAGTCTGGCAAAGTTGTGTTGGTTTTAAACGGACGTTATGCAGGCAAAAAGGCTGTCATTGTAAAAAATTACGACGATGGAACCAGCGATAAACCTTACGGTCATGCACTCGTGGCTGGGATTGCTCGCTATCCACTGAAAGTTACAAAGAAAATGGGAAAGAAGAAGACGGCAAAGAGGTCCAGGATAAAGCCTTTTGTAAAAGTTTACAACTACAACCATCTTATGCCCACAAGGTGAGTACTAACCCTCTGCATCCCAGCATCAGAATGCAATTTCTACATCCTGTTCTCTATACATTTCCTGTGGTACGCACAAGGAGAATTTGTCTAACAATCGAGAGCTCCTTGAGTTTGCGATCATTTCCACCATTCAGATAACCTTATGTTTGATTCAGGGGTGATATTGCTGTGAGAAATTAGCTGCCTAAAGGGTTAATTGAAAATTTGCTCAGCTGATACAACACTGTAATTTGCCTGTTACACAAAGTTCCCAGAATTAATGTTGAACCATCTTTGTCATTGTATTGTCAATTTTATTTTTCCTGAGATAGTTTTAAGAAGCAATAATCGACCTTAATCTGCTTCAATCTTTGTCTGTTAATCCTTTAACCCTTAACTCCCAAGATCTGATTGTTAATTCTCCCCTGTAGCTGCTACACATTTCCTTGTGAAGTAGTTATGAGAACTAGGTGCTAAATCAAGATAGCAGCTTCTACCTGATAAGTTTGAATATTCTCTTTACCTTTTTGCTGGAGAATGTATGGATATGTTTGGGAGAAGTTTTATGTTAATCACTTCTGGGAGTTAAAGGGTTAACTCCCAAGATCTGACCGTTAATTCTCCCCTTTAGCTGCTTCACATTTCTTTGCAAATTAGCTACAGGTATTTGGTGTTAGATTTGGCTAACTTCTAGCAGAAAAGTTCAAATACTTTCATAACCTGTTTGCTGGATATTGTGTGGATATTTTAGGGTGATGTAACATATCAATCACTTCAAGGAATTGTAGGCTCAGGGTTGAGCAAGACAAAGTGATATGCCCCTCATTTGATCAAATTTTTTAACATATCTGCAACTCCAAACAGCTTGTGATAACCTTTTTCAGAGTAGGTAAATGGCAAAATTTCAGGTGAGATAAAGCTAGAGGATTGGCCATTGAAACAAGGACTAAATTGGTCTGAGGTTTATTGGGATCAATGGGTTTTATAAGATCCTTGATATGTGGGATTTTAAAGGGAATAGATTTTTTAGTGCCCAATTTTAACCCTTTTGTCAGTTTTGCAAAAACATACTATTCAGGTGGTATTTTCTGTTTGACTCAAAATTTTTTTAATAACTGGTCCAGAGATTCTTGTGAACTTGTAATTTATTGCCTGCTTTGTAATTACCAGGGTAATAATTTTATCCACCAATTTCAAAACTGTGTATTCATAATTATAGATAAATCCTGTCTTTTGTCTGCAGGTACTCAGTCGATGTAAACCTGGACAAGCAGGTGATTAATAAAGATGTGTTCAGAGATCCAGCACTGAAACGCAAAGCCAAAAGGGAAGCCAAAGTGAAATTAGAAGAAAGGTAGATATGCCAGCCTTACTCTGTTTTTGTTTTTGTTGTTGTTGTTTCTTCGCATCCATGTGATTGTGGAACCTAGATAGCCATGTTACCAAAAAGGATCCTGGAATATGAATTTGTCAAGAAAAACAAACTCTTTAGGCATGAGAGGTCTAAACTTGCTCATCAGTGATGCCAATAAATTTGTGGTTTTGTGATTTGCTCACATCTCTTGGTCTCTGTTGCTTGAAGGGTTGATAGTTGATAGCACTATCCACTGGATAAATCTCTTTGCAGTGAATAGTGCATTATGGTTTGTTAACTCTTATCCACTTATGCAATTTATCTGTTGGATGGTATTATCCACCCCTTGAACAATGGGGCCGTGGTCTCTTAACCCTCTACACCCTAAAATCAGTATGCATATTCTCCATACTGTTCTATAAACATTTCCTAAGATGCTGACAGGGAGAATTTGTCTAACAATCAAGATTGTCTTTAGTGGGTGATAAGCTCTTTTATTCTCCTGACCTCAATGTTTGATTCAGGGGAGATATGGTAAGGAGAGATTAGATGCCAGTCACTCTTAAGGGTTAAAGGGTTTGACAGTTAATTATTGTTGACCATTTTTTTTATTCCTCTCTGTCATTTTGGTTAAGTCTTACTCACTAGCTAGGTGGCTCATTCAGGTTTAGCTTGTCCCAGCTTTCATAAGTGTCTGGTGTTGAATTTCCCTTACAATATCACCCCTGAATTAAACTTAAAGGTCATGAGCTAAAAGGAATTTATTACCAACTGAAGAAGCTCTTGACTTTGAAACAAATTCTTCTTGTTAACACCTTAGGAAATGTAGAGAGAACAGTATGGAGAATATGCATACTGATATTTGGGTGTAAAGGGTTAAGCAACTAGGAGTTTTGGTAATCTTCTGGGATGGGTTACCGGTAAATGGCTGGGTACTCTCAGAATTTTTTTCAGGCTTCCCCAGTTAATTATTCAGGACTCGTTTACAACCCTTGGTTAGAAAAAGAGCTATGAGAGTTGTGGATGTTAACCCAAAAACAAAATCCAATGACCAGCTAAAGTTCAGACCTTCTCATCAAGACTTGAATACACTAGTTGAGTGTATAACTCTTGTTCTTACCAAGTTTTATTTTAACTTTAATTAAGTAAATTAGGTTTGATTGAGTTGTTATTGTATGATACTCCACTCATGTAAGTACTTTAGTAACAAAATTGTCTCTTTCCAGGTACAAGTCGGGCAAGAACAAATGGTTTTTCCAAAAGCTGAGGTTCTAATCACCAACCTTGTAAAAAAATAATGAAATAAAGACTGAAACACAAATGTCATCTAGTATGGTTCTTTGATCTCAGACAGCTAACCCCAGCACAGATTTAACAATGTATTTCACTATATGGCAACACAGTGGTTACAAATTAGGCATGTGAGAGTGGATCAGTTTTAGCTATCTGCACACCAATTTCCTGTGCAAAATTTCAAAGGAAACCTTGAGAAACAACCACAGTCCCCAATGCAAAATATGTGAAATGATGGTTGAAACGTTTGTAGAAATCTGTGAAAGGGAAAAAAAGTAAGGTAAAGGATAAAAACAGAACTTATTCAAGACAGGTATCCTGTTGATTTACCATTTTCTTTTGGAGCTTTATTAAAGAAAACTATTTGATTCTGAAATACACAGCCAAAAGGGATCTGCTTGGGCATACCTGACGTGTGTCCGCCGTGTTCGGACAGCCCGTCCCTTGAACTTTCCAAGGGATTTCCCGAAGCAGTTTATCAAGGTGAAGGCTTGGTGTCTAAGCCTTCATATGCTATTGAAGCGGGAAGGTTAAAGCCAGTCATCCTTAATCTTGTGGTGGTTTCTCGAGGGTTATGCACCTTTGCAGTGATGGATTATAATGCAAGTAGGGAAGATTTTCGGTCATCTTATGACTATTCCTACGAAGGAGGTGTACCTACTGACGATGAAGAGGGCGATGAAGACTTCTCTTCCCGACCCCATGTCAGTAGTCATAGCAGACAGTCTGTGATTTTTCCGGCGAAAAGACGCCGAATGGACGACTCTAGCTCTACACAAACTCATCAAAATGGGCAGTCTTCCACACGGAAGCATTCAACCCAGTTTGAGTCTTGTTTGGGTCACAGTAGAACCATTGTTCATGTTGACATCGACTGTTTTTACGCGCAAGTCGAGATGATCCGGCGACCTGAACTGAGAGACGTACCCCTAGGAATTCAACAGAAACATATCGTGGTCACTTGCAATTATGTCGCTAGGGAAAGAGGGGTGAAAAAACTTGTTTACATCAGCGATGCCAAAAAGACATGTCCTGATCTGGTTTTAGTTAACGGGGAAGATTTGACTAATTACAGGGAGTTTTCTGGACGGGTCCACTCCTTGCTGTCAGAGAGGTTCACACCCCTGGTAGAAAGATTAGGGATGGATGAGAACTTTTTGGATGTGACTGAACTTGTGAAATCACGCGAGTTGGCTTTGCCGTCTGGAAGGAGGGAATATGTCGGGGGTTTGTACGCAAGCAGGGTTGAAAATTGCAAAGATAAGGTTTGACAATTAAACTGTACCATTGCATGCATCGTGAGCTTTTTTGTGCGAGTCTTGAGAGTCAGTTCTGGAAAAAAATGAGCAGCAAAGTTGTGAGGTGTTTGAAGATCTGCACCTAAAACGGGACGTTACAAAGCGATAATTGCAAAACTCCATAAAACGTATTGTAATAAATAATTCTCGATATAAATTAATCAAACAGTATCAAAAATTGATAAAAATCTTTGGCTTAGGTTTTTGTGATTATCAATTTTACCGTTAGAATGAAACCCTTACTTAATTCTGGCTTGATTTGATGTAATTTGCTTTCTCAGCCCAGTGAATCAATATTATCAATTTTATCAATCTTGTGATTATTGATATTTATTAAATATTTTAGCTAATTGATCAACAATTATCATGTGATATCAAGTAATTGATGAGTTTGCGATTATTTTTTTATTAATCTTTATTATAATAAATCATTTATTTAATCAATTGATTGTCTATTAATTATGGATTTATTATCTGTCCTAGGACATTACTGCATGTCCTTGTGGTTGCCATGAGAGACTAAGAATTGGATCACTGATTGCAGCAGAGATCAGGCAAGTAATTCTGCAAGAAGTTGGTCTGACTTGTTGTGCAGGAATTGCTCACAACAAACTCCTGGCTAAACTTGTAGGTGCATGGAAAAAACCCAACAAACAGACAACATTACTTCCAGAGGATGCAGGGAGCTTGTTGTCAGGACTGAAAGCAAAGGATATCCCAGGTATTATAGAAAAAAAAGGAATCAGATAGCAGAAGACATGAAAATGTGGCAAAAACATTAGTGACACACTGGGCTGCACCCCATTTGCCACTTTTTTGTTCTTACCACATTTTGATGAAAACTGTGATTTCGTAATGAAGAGATGAACAGCAATCTGGAATCTTTTTGTTAACCCTTGGACCCCTAAGAGTGACTAGAATCCTATTTCTCCTCACAATATCACCCCTGAATCAAACATAAAGGTCATGAGAATAAAGGAAATGATCACCAACTAAAGAGGCTTTAGATTGCTAAACAAATTCTCCTAATCAGCACCTAAAGAAATGTATAGAGAACATTATGGAGAACATGAGAACTGATCTTAGGGTGCAAAGTGTGAAAGAGATAGCAAATAAAGTGTGTAACATAACAGGGTGCAGTTGTAAACAAAATGGAATGAAAATCCAAGCTTTTCTTTTTGCCAAGTGTTGAACAACTCATAAATTTATACTCAAACAATGAGATTATTTGGTCTCGATTTCTAGGAATGATAGAGTCCATGCTTTTCCCTCATCAACTATCACATGCTAGAAATTTTTAGTTCATGATCTGATTGTTAAATGGAGCAGGCCAGCCTTAAGAGGTGGAAAAACTTTGGGTAGGCTGAAATGAATTTATGGTGGAGAATGCAACTTTCTCACATGTCCCTGTGAGTTTGGGTTTACTTTCAATCAACCCTTCACACCCTAAAATCAACTAGCATATTCTCCACACTGTTCTCTTTACATTTCCTAAGGTTCTGATAAGGAGAATTTGATTACAGTCAACAATCAAGAGCTTCTTTAGTTGTTGATCATTTCCTTTATTCTCATGACCTTAATGTGAGATTTAGAGGTGATTTTGTCAGGAGAAATTAGATGCTGGTCACAGACAAGAGCTAATTTGTTCAGTGTGGCCAGAGCTAATGAGAAAAAAAAAGCTATGTTTCCTCTAGTTTAACATTTTTTATTGCTGTATGATTAATTATCAATTTTTTCTATAATTTTCCTTACTGTTGACTCTATATCATTGTGTTTCAAGAAAAGAGCAAATCAGGGACCAAAAAAACTAAACCAGAACAAGAAATAAAGCTTTGAAAGAATTAGTAATACACTGTGAAATCTGCCACTCCAATCCACTGATCTCTCTAAAATAGCAGATCACAGCAGTAAAATTTACTGCCTGTAGTACCTCTTACTAAAATCTCTTGGAATCCTTGAAAATTCAGCAGGTAAAGGGATTGCTCAACTACCAGTTTTAAAATTTATTTTACTTGTTGTGCTGTGTAATCTCAACTTATACAGAAAAGAATGCCATTTGCGAATTTCTGTTTCAGTTATGTAAACCTGATTTCACTTTATTTTGTTTTATGTAGGTATTGGACACAGTACAGCCAAAAAACTTCAAACAATCAACATTTCATCTGTTACTGACCTACTTTCATGTCCCAGTCAAGTCTTAGAAAAGGAATTTGGCCATTCACTGGCAGATCTGATGATCAAACTCTGCAATGGGATTGATGAGAGCAAAGTTACTCCCTCTCGAGAATTTAAAACAATAACAGATGAGGACTCTTTTAAATGTTGTTCAACACTAGAGGATGCAACAAAGAGGCTCAGGGGTCTTGTCAAAGGGATACTTCCAAGAATTTCTTCCAGTAATACATTACCTCAAACTGTGAGAGTCTCCATTCGAAGAAGAGGTGAAAAGTCACACAAAAGAGAGAGTCGTCAGAGTGCTTTACCACAAGCAATTTGTTTTGCTGACGAGGAAAAAGCAGGAGATCTTCTCTTCGAAGTTTGTGTCTCATTGTTTAAGAAAGTTGTGGATGTCAATAAACCATTTCACCTGAGTCTTCTGGGAATTTCATTAACAAACTTTTACAAACCATCTAGTGGTCAAGCCAAAGAAATCTCAAACTTTTTTCAAAAGTCTTGCAGCAAACATGCAAATCTGACATCTGTCACATCATGTAGTAGTTTGGAATCAAAGGGCAATTATCTCTTTGAAAGAGAAGACTGGGAAGCTTTGCCCAAAGGCTGTGAAGATAAATTATCTGATCAAAGAACAAGTAAGGTTGGCACAACCAACACTAAGGACTGGAAACAAGTGAGGAGCTCTAAGTTAACTACACAGCATACCCAGCCAAAGGGAATAAGCATTGATGGGGCTACCAAGGATGTGAGTCAACCAGCTATCATTTGCCCCAGTGGCATAGACCCTGCAGTTTTTGCTGAGTTGCCTTTGGAGCTGCAGAAGGAGTTGCAGGCACAATGGCCACAGTCAGCCCAGGAAACAGCAAATACCAAGAGGGTTACTGTAAAGGAGAAAAAAAGTGCTGGAATTCAAAGATACTTTACTAGAGAAGGTGTAAACAATGATTCTGGAACACCTAAATAAAATAGGCTTTCCAATTACACAGAACTGTAATAGAATCCTGTTAATTCAAGCACAGTTTACTTGAACTCTTCTTTTACTACAATAAAATGCTATTTCCCCTGGATTTGACCCCATTTTTATAGTTATTTACCATTAACTAACTCAAACTCCCCTTTAACTCAAACAGGTTATTTCCTTTGTCTTGGCTTAAGTTTTTCCTGATAACTTAAAATTTACCCCTTTAACCCCTAAGAGTGAGTAGCATCTAATTGCTGTACACATTATCGCTACTGACTCAAACATTAAGGTTATGAGAATATAGGAAATGACCACCCATACAAGAAGCTCTTGATAATACAAATTCTCCTTGTCTGTGTCATAAGAAATGTATACAAAACAGTATGGAGAATATGCCCATTGATGTTAGAGTATAAACAGTTAATTAAAAATTGCAGTCATTAAATGTCAAAGTGTTAGAATGTAACTGATTGACATGTACCAATCTTGAAATTCAACACTAATCCCAACAACTCAGATTCCTGCCAATTAAAGCTTGTTTTTCAGGATTTGAGTCAGCAGGGGTTCTACTGTTTCTTGTTTCTGAAGAAACACAATCTACCTAAACCAATAGAATTACATGGCAGAGAGTAGGGAAAATTACTTATTAAATCTTAGGAGTGAAAGCATTTAGTCTCCTTACTAATTTCAACACATTAAGAATATTAGGGCAAAGCATTTAAGAGTTGAATCAAATATCTGTCAGTTGATAGTTTTCTTTATTATCATCAACTTTCTGCTTTCCATTGTGCTATTGGAAGTACAAGTTACTCCTTGGTTACTTCTGTAGGTTAATGCTTTGACTCCCAGAAGTGATTAACATGTAACTTCTCCCTGTAACATCCTTAGATTACCCAGTGAACAGGCAACGAGAATACTCAGTTATCTTGATTTCATTCCAAATTCTTGTAACTAATTTACAAGAAAATGTGAGGCTGCTAGAAGGGAGAATTTACCATCAGATCTAAGGAATGTAATGTTCAATCTAACGAGGAGAAACTTACCCAAATTTATGATTAATGTGAACGCAACAAATTCCTAGAATTTAAACAAAGTAACAAAGTGCAAGCTTGTTGTGCAATAATCTTTTAAGCACTGTAGTACAATGGAGCAGATAATTTTCCAGTAGTAATTTTTTTTTATTTTACCACACCATTGTCCAATTGAGGCCCAGGTGGCATCATATAATCATTTTTAGTAATATTGAAAAAGGGTTCTTTACAACATAGGCTAGTTTGCAAATTCAAATCGTACGACTTTGATCATTTCATCAAAACTGGAATAATTTTCGATAAATAAGGACTTCTCTTGCAAGTGGTTTGAAGAGAAGTTTAGATTCGCCATCGCCTTCTATCTTCAATTACTTTCCTGTGAAAAATGGTCGTAAATTTGTATTCGTCTCGATTACCCTGTGATATCCTTCCATGAAACCCAAGATCGGCGATTCCGAACGTTGGCTAGAAAAGAGTCACCCAGCTGGGAATTACATACTCGTGTTGCTGTATTAGTTTAAAGTAAAAAATTTAAACATCAACGGCGACAAGGGGAAATATAAAAGCATGTCAAGTCGCCAAATGTCTGAAGCTTTACAAACGAATTGAAAACCAACACACTGAGACCCAGTTTTGCGGCCAACAATTTCGCAATCTTCATCAGAGTTCAGGAATATTGTCGTGGTATGTTTACACAAAAGTGATTTCAAAGGTCATTCCCGATAGATCTATTCCTTTGTGCACTAGCTTGAACTGAAATAGAAAACTAAAGTCAGTTGACGCAGTAAACAAACTTTAATTCACTTCCATACACAACATCGTATCATCCCTCGTTAGGAACAGATAAACACACTTCAATTTCTCTGGACGGTTTCGAATCGCCTAGCTATTTAAATACAAATACTTGTTTAGCATCGCATAGTTCAACTGCTTGTGAAGTATAACTGAAATTCAACCAACAATGTACAGAGGGAAAGGTAAATACGTAACAACCTATACTATTTCTAAATCGTCCAAAATCCGTTTGACTAGAATTTGAAAGAATATGTCTGTATCATTATCTCCTGTCCAGTATACACAGATAATCACCCAGTCGTTTGGTTCCAGGCATAAAGAGCGGACTTGCACTGACAAATTGTAACGATTTCATTCTCCGTCTCTATCATCCTGTTCCGACTGCCACAGTGTTAAATTGTCACGAAGGAGTTGCATTATCAACGTGCTGTCCTTGTAAGTATCTTCTGCTACACTGTCTAGTTCTCCTATCGCTTCATCGAACGCAGATTTTGCCAACTTACAGGCTTCCTCAGGGTCGTTTTGGATTTCGTAGTAGAACACCGAGTAATTCAGCGCCAAGCCAAGCCGTATGGGATGAGTGGGACTCAAGCCCGCTTTAGCCTTCTCCTGAGCCAACTTGTAAGCGTCGTTCGATTTTCCCCCAACTGCTTCCCTCTCCTCATCTTTTTCAATCTCAACCAGGTAGCGATAGTAATCGCCCTTCATCTTCAGGTAAAACACATTCGCCTCTAACTGCGCCGTACTAGTTCCTTCTTCTTCTTTGGGAAGGAGGTAACGATCGATCAACTCTAGAACTTCATTACACATTTCTTTCAATTCACCTTCAATCTTCTGACGGTACTCTTCGGCGAATTGGTATTTTCCCTCGTTTTCCGGTTTATCCTTGTCTGATTTCTGCTCTATGCTTGAAATAATTCGCCACGCAGATCGCCGTGCACCGACCACGTTCTTATAAGCAACCGACAGCAGATTTCTCTCCTCATGATTTAGCGCCTTATCTCCCATTTCTTCCACTACTTTTTTCATGGCCGTTACCATGTCTTCATAACGCTCAGCTTGCTCTGCTATTTTTGCCCGGTAAATATTTTCTTCTATCAGATTCATCTTGACTTCACAATTTAAAATGCTACAACCCACCCAGAACGAAACCTCTCAAACAAATTTCAATTGACGCTGTAAAATTGCAGGGAGCTGCCTTCTTTCTCTTCCTTGGTCACGTGTCTCAGCTGAAGTTTTGCGTGATTTCTGCCAATCAACATCGCCAGTAACATCCGGGAGGTTTTTTAACCGGGAATGCATAGAAATGGGTGTTGGACGATACCTGTGAAAATATACAAGAATCGCATACTATCTACAGCAGATACGGAAAATTTATCGACAAATGATCAACACGCGCAGCAAATTAAGAAAAAATCTGCCCTCGCTTTCCCGAAACCCGCTCTTCGTCCCATGAGTTTATAGCTAGTAGTTTCGCTGTGACAAGTCACACTCGCGCGTCACACACGTGTGACGATCGCGTGACTTTTCAAACAGTCTCGCGTGTTGTCCTCGCATGACATGTCCTCAATATATTTGAAGAAGTTTACGAAGCAAATTCAAGCAAATCCGGGTTTTATTTCCCTAAATAAAATATCTGTATAAGACAGAGGGCACTCACCAGTTTTTGCCACCTAGATATTGTAGGTTGTTTGCTTAGAAAAAGGTTCAGAAAGGATAAGTCACATGCACCCCAGGACCCCCCCCTCCCCCCTAGCTACACCCTTGCACTCCTACCAAATTGAAGCTTATACATCAATCAATTCAAAGCTTCAACATTCCTCCCTTGGCATTGAAACTTTTGAAGACTGGTTCGTTAAAATTCCTGTCCCCTTTCCAGGCCAAAATTGCATTCAAATACCTCATATTATTTGAATGATTCTAAGTGTAGCTAATGAATGTTGTACCATTGAGCAAAGTCAAATTTGGGGCTGCTGTTGGTCTTTTTGCTTTTAAGCATCATTCTTGAAACAAAAAAATTTCTTCTAGGCCATTTTCTTATAAAAATTTACTTTTTACCTTTGAACTCCAACATATCTTAAGTTAAAATGCCTGTATTGCACTCATCCAAATTCACCACCCCATTCAAACGTGGTTTTAAAATTCCCAACCCCTGACAACGGTCAAATGCCCATGGGGGGGGGAAGGGAATGTTGAAGCTTCAAATTGATCTGCACAGCACATAAATATAACTCAAGGGTATCAAAGTCAGCATGCATCATTCTCTATTTTCATTGTTAGGCTCAGATAAGTTATTCTGGCATAATTTTAGGTATAATGTTGGTCAGAGCATCAAGCATGATGCCAGAATAATGACTAAAGTTATTGAGTATAAATGAGTTAGACTGCCTTTCAAGTACTTTTACAATGGAGTTTTTGGATTCATTTTCAGCATATTGGTCTCAAATGCCATTTCTTGTACTTTCCTGTAATTTTCTTGCCCAGGTTACTTCAATTAAAGGCCTGGTTAACACCTCATGTACTCAGCAAGAGATAACAAGGGGTAAATATGTGTGGCCTGAGAATTTGGTTTCATATAATGTTTTCCTTGAAGTGCAGAAAGCGTTTCGTCCAACGCTAGTTTAACTTGTCAACAGCGGGGAGGGAGAGGGGAGGTTTAAATGGCTCTTAACCCTTGCATCAGCATGCATATTCTCCAAACTGACTCAATAAATTCCTTTAGGTGCTGATAAGGAGAATTGGTTAAACAATCAACAGCCTCTTTATTTTCATGACCTTTATGTATGCTTCTGGGGTGATAGTGTAAGGAGATATTAGTTACTAGTCACTCTAAGGGGTCAAAGGGTTACACTGTTGACCCTGTAACTCCTTTGAGTGACCAAGATGGAATTTCTCCTTAGCATTTCATTACAATTTCAAGTAAACAAGTAATGGGAGTAAAAAGAAATATCAATTAGGAGATTATTAATTGATCCTATGCCAAATTCCCCGAATCAACATCATAAGAGTTGTACAGCAGACAGTATGGAGAATTACTGATGAGATCTTGGGAGTGAAAGGGTTCAGTTCAGTTAGTCATAATCATGAGCATAGTGCATGCTTTCAGGGACAACACTTGGAAGCATAATGCTCGAATTTTCAAGCAAAATATATATGACCCTACTCTTAGTCATGTTTCTATACTTGCAACATGGGAAAGAAAGTGATTGAGGTCAGATAAACTGGAAAAAAGGAAGCTGCTCAAATGCCATTTGATCACACAATGTATAATATAATTCCTAATAATGCTACCTAAATTACATAATTAATTATTTGGCAATTTTCTCACAATTAGGTAATATTCAATTAAAAAAAAAAAGTATCAGAGTGGTTATTCTTATGTAATTCACAGCCAAACTAACATTGATTATAGCAGTCACATTTTCAGAAATTACAGATCAGTAAAAAAATCAACTCTGATTTTCAGTGGCCAAAAAAACTGGATGACCCTGCTCTGAATCACTACCTGATAAATCATATCAAAAATGGAGAAAAAAAGCTTGGTTGGTAGTACAGTTAACTCTGTCCTCATCACTACCACTATGTTGATCACTACCATATGAAAAAAAAAACCTAGCAGATTTAAGCCATGAGTCTCTCAGGAGAAGAGAGCAAAAAATTCCCTCCATTAAACAAAATCCACTTACAACAAATTCACTGTTCATGCTGGCAAGTCACCTTGCCATAGTGGTCAACAGTTTCACAGAAATAAAGTAGAGAAAAAAACTACCGGAAAAAATATTCATTCACCCTGAGTACACGAAAAATTATCCAACAGTAAAGTGCTTATGTTATACTATCAACTAAGTGCTCAGAATTAAACGTCAATATAAACAAGCACGATATTTCACCTTAATTATATATTACCATTAAATAGCGCTTCCTAGTGACATACCACGAAACTTTTCAGAGTCACACTTTAATTAATCTATAATGTATTCCATTCTTTAGTAAGTATGCCTAATGTGAGCAGCATCGGAGATCTAGGACTTAGACAAACAACAAAGTGTAGCACATTAAAGAATTGCATCGTAATTGACTTTGAATTAACTTTACAATTTTTTTATAATGTTATATGCAAACAAGATTACACTATACACCATAAGAACGTTGCTTTCTTGACGTATAATTCACATATTTCTGTCTTAATATTAGCTGAGATGGCATTCACCGTTAATTATGTAAAAGCTTTGAAAACTTCCAGAGGTCTATCTTGCGCTACACCAAATCAATGACATCTAAACATGAGTGAAGGAACTGGTCAGGAAAGAACCAGTAAGCAAAAGTATTGATTTCCGTCACCGCTTCTATCGACTCTTAATTAGTAAGTGAATATTCTTTCCAATGAAAACCACTCAGTCATTCTCAGCGCTGAGTTTGTAGTCTAAAGTACACAAACGCTTCCAAACTCCTTTATCAATCGTCTCCCTGTTGCTCACCATCTTCTTCTGACTGCCACAGAGTTAGATTATCGCGGAGAAGTTGCATTATCAGGGTGCTGTCTTTGTAAGAATCTTCTTTTGCGTCGTCCAGTTTAGCTATCGCATCGTCGAAGGCCGTTTTTGCCAGCTCGCATGCCTTTGAGGAGTTGTTTTCGATCTCGTAGTAGAACACAGAGAAATTCAGCGCCAATCCAAGGCGGATGGGGTTCGTTTCTGACAAAGATTTTTTACTCTCCTCATTAGCTTGTTCATAAGCTTTTTTAGATTCTTCGCTCAGCGTCTTCCTATCATCTGAATCATTATCCTCGATCTCCACAAGGTAGCGATAGTAATCTCCTTGCATCTTGTAGTAGAAAACTTTAGCTTCTTCTTGGTTCGTAGCATCTTCCACCACAGCCAGTAGATTTTTGATCAATTTAAGGACTTCGTTGCACTTTTCCTTCAGTTCACCTTCCACGGTCTGCTTATAACTCTTCGCAATTCCCTTTTTAACTTCGTCACCCTCTGCCTTATCCTCTAAGTTCGAAATAATTCGCCAGGCAGACCTTCTTGCTCCTACCACGTTCTTGTAAGCCACTGAAAGTAGATTTCTCTGTTCGTCAGAAAGGACCTCCTTAGTTGATTCCACTAATTTTGTCATATATGTAACCATATCATCATAACGCTCAGCTTGTTCAGCCAGCTTGGCCTTCGCAACTAAATCGGCAGGGCTCGACATGGCGTCCAATTCACGGTAACAATAATAACTATAACAAGCACACTCGAAACCTTCTACAAGCAGATGGACGCCTTTCGATCGATGGGAGCTGTCTTCCCTCTACAGATTAATGCACGGTTTTCCACCAATCATGATCGTAGTTGGCATCCGGGAAACTTTCTAACCGGGAAGTGGTAAGCATGACGTAATTATGAAAAATTGCTCTCACTTCATTTCTTCGGAATTCTGCTTTCTTCTTTCTTGACACGTACACTTTTCTCGAATATGGTGTCCATTATCATATGGAGACTACTATATTCATTGATGCACCTGCCAACGTTCCTTCCAACTCTTTTTGAGTCAGTGACAAAAAATATTGATGAGTGCAATTTAAAAAGTCCATATGACGACTAGCGAAGAATTACGAGAAGTCTCTGAGTTGTTCGAAGGCGTGTCGAAGACTTTCCGAATCAGCCTCCGGCCGGAGCTATCTTAACTTCCGGAAAACATACACTTTTCTTTTCTCACTTATGTTGAATCAATCTCACCTTATGTTTTTTCAAAATTGCTCACAGAAAAAAATAGCGAAGAAAATAAAACCTCGTTCCGGAAATGGGAAAGCTTGATGTATGTCCTCTTATAGGCAATGAGGTACATGCATCCAAGATTAAAAAGGATTTCTAGGGAAATATTAATGAAAAGTATAATGTATGTGCTATGAATGACCAAGAAATCAAATATCTGGTTTTTTTTCTGAGTATTGTTCTTCTGCTGGAACGTAATATCGCATAAATTTTTCTCAGCCAAACATTGAGGCCATTCCGAACTACAAAAATCTTTTTTCCTCAGAAGCACAAAAATTGTCGTTGCGTAGATGAAAACTCCGGAAAAAATTTCCTAGCTTCGGTTAACCCTTTTACTATCAGATCAAATTTGTAATTCTCCTTACTGTTAGCCATACAATTCGTATAATGGTAGTTCAAAGAATTTAGTATTGGATCTACTAATTATCCCCAAATTGATATTTTTCTTTATTCTCATCACTTATCTCGGGTTGATATTGTATTGATATTGTAAGGAGAAATTCTGTCTTGGTCACTCATGGTAGTTAATGGGTTAGGCGGGTAAAGCGCTTACATTTCTAATCCACGCATGAACAAGGGGGCTCGCGAAAAATGATGTTCGCAAAATAAGCGGAAGGACGAAGAAAAATGAAATTCGGAGCCGTTACCTTACGATCACAGACACCGTTCCACTTGCCATACCTTTTTTTTTTCTAACCCCTTTTTCGTTTCTCTTTGCCGAGGATAGCAAAGAAGGAATTCTCATCCCGTTTCACGCGCGTCACGTATGTACCCTTTGCTACCTAAGAGCCTAACACATGACACAGGCTCCCCAACGTAACATTGCTCAGCGACCGATAGAAAGGAGAGGCTACAAAGTATTGAGCGAGAATTACAAACATGGCTGCTCGAAGCAGATATTCTGAACTACCTGGCATTGTAAGTATCCCTCTTAACCTAACTGTTCTGTTATTTTACCTTTTTTTTCTTTCCAACGTAAATTTTCACTCTTCCGTTAGATTTTGGTTACATTTTCTCCCTGTTTCACCCTTCTTTTAGGACAATCAGCCAGATGTCTACGAAACTCCCGATGTTATGGAGAAAACTAACCAGGAGGGTGACCCTTCGGTAAAATATTTTGCTATACAAAACTTTTATGACTGAAGGAGAATTGAAAATGATTTATCAATTCTCTGCAATTCTTAATGTTCATTACATGTACTTAAGCTCAAACATCCTAAAATATTGTATTTAATATAAAGTCCCTCTTTCAACTTAAATTCATTCTAGAATAATTTCCATCAGTTTTTGTATATTTTGGCTCTATCCTTTCAATGCGCTGTTATTTTAGGAAAGAAAAAAGGTCGCTTCAGATCTGGAAGGGAAAAAAGAAACGAGGAAAAGTGAAAAGTTAAAGTAATTATGGGGAAGCATTACAAGACTTTGAAAACCAATTGCTTAGTACAGGGTGACTGCCTATTAAGGTGCCTTTTGATACCGGTTGGACTGTAAGTACACTCAGAAGTCCTTAATTTTTACTTCTCCTCTTATTGTTTTGTATAATTATTTAGATGCAGAATGGAGATGAAAGTATTCATTTGTTAAAAATTGATGCTAAAGAAGCATTTGAGAAATTTAGTGGAAAATATTTAGACCCAGGGAATACTGGTAAGTGATAGTTTTAACTTGACTCCAGAATTTAATTAAACAAATCAAATTAGGTGTGTTTGAACAATTGATTAATGGGCTGTACAGACTGTACAGAAAATGATAAGACACGAAACAATATTTTCAAACTATAATGGCCTTTGCAATTTCGATTTACTGACTAAGTATGCAGTGTTGTGGAAAACTCACTGTTCTCTTGAGGTCACAGTACTTACAAGTCTCAAATAACAACCATATTATTAACATAAAAAAAAGTTTTTAACATGCTTCCTGCAACAACGGTCATAAAAGAGGATCCACATTTTCTTGATCCTTTGCACCCTAACATCAGTATATATTTTCTCCACACTGTTCTCTATACATTTCCTATGGTACTGACAAGGAGAATTTGTTTAACAATCAAGAGCTTCTTGAGTTGGTGATCATTTCCTTCATTCTCATGACCTCAATGTTTGTTTTTGGGGTGATATTGATGGGAGGAAATGGTTACTAATCACTCTTAGGGTTAAAACTCAACTCTTACCAATAACTATGCTCTATTCTCATTTGGTTTCCTCTTTGATGCATGACATTGATAATCACCGTGCCCCGTCTAATATTTCTATGCTCTTTATCCACTCCGAGCAGGTTCATCACCATTTCACTAGATTCTTAATCTGTACGTTAAAGCGTTAACCAACTTTTATTTTCTTTTGCTAGAATAGGTGTAAGATTGTTTCCCAAAAGAACTTCGTATTAAAAACAGAACCCCGTTTAAGCGTGAACTTAAAAATCGCCTGTTAAAACTTTTGGAAAATGAGGAGATGAATGTTGAGATACGCTGCTCAGAAATTTGTAAATATCTCTTGATAAAGTAACTCTTCGTTTAAGTCTTGTTTCAATTGTATTATATATCTTGATAACTTTGCAATTGATTATTTAATTATTCAACGGACTTAATTTTATTTTATTTTATTTAACAATTGTATTTTTATTAATGATTATCTTTGTTTAAACTGTAGCAGAGACAGAGTTTTGACTAGAATAGCATCTAACAAATAAAATTGAATTGAATTGAGTTAATCTTTTGAACTGTAAAAGTGACTAGAATCTAATTTCTCTTTATGATATCACCCCCTGAGGGTCATAAGTGTAAAGGAAATATCACAAACACAAGAAACTCTTGATTGTTAGGCAAATTCTCCTTGTCAGCACCTAAGGAATGTATAGAGAACAGTATGGAGATATGCAGACTGATGTGAGAGTGGAAATGGTTAAATAATGTTATCATTGACCTAAATATTATTTAGCCCTCTTAGGAACCCAGCGTATTTTGAATTCAATGCTAATAAATTGACGTGAAGCTTAATTTTTATATTAGATAATGGTAAATGGCTTGTATCCAGGAGTAACAGTTGATAGTGTAGTCTAATTGAAAAAAAGGAGTGTTGTTTGGATTTATGACTGATATTTTACCAGCACTGGCAGTAATATCACATTCTGATTGGCCAATTTGCTGTTTTCGACAGGAGTACAGACAACATTGCTTGTGTGAATGTGTCATGCAATGTTCATGCACTGCATGAGCTCACAACATTTTGACCATTGTGATGAGAAATATAGTTGTCAATAAGAGTAGAGACCATGCTAAACCACTGTTGATTTTAACAACCTTAGCAGAAGTCATCATTAGAGTCAACACTGATACACAAACATGATACATAATATGTGCAGAGCAGATTAAACATGGAAGCAGATTAAACATGGAAGATTATATGTCATTTGAATATATTTGGAACAAAAACTTTAATTTGTAATTTTTTTTTTTGCTTTTTTTCCAGATTTTTCAGGAAGGTGTGGTCCTGAACAGATGAAAGGCTATGTTACAAAAACTGAATATGAAATGCTAGGAGAAGGAGCAGCTAAAGAGACACCTCAGAATAAATTTAATCGTCTTCAGCATGAGATCCGAGAGCTGGCAGAAGAACTAGAGCAAATTAAGGTGAGCTTGCGTTTATGGCTGAGAGATCTGTGGCTGATTTGAACTTCAAACATGATGTGTCAACTAACTTTAATGCTGATTCAAGGAGAGCAGATGCGACATAGGTGGATAAGGTTTGTACGAAGTGATTTGAACCCATTCAGCCAAAGGTTATCATGGTGTCTGTAGTGTGAAGCCACTGGGAGTATCACTACCCCCTCCCTTCCCCCCCCCCCCCCCAGCTGAGATGCCAGTCCATTGCAAGGTTACCCCCAGTGTTTTCACCTCCCTGTCTTACTTAAAATTTTTGCTTAAAGGAGGGGTACTTACTGGAATGAGTGTGCTTTCTCAATGGGGGCACTTATTAAGAAACTTAACCTTAACCGTGCTGAGCTTAAAGAGTAGTAATTGAAGTATTAATAGACACAGGTTTTCCTAGTATCACCAATATTAATCCTTTAGCCCCTAAGGGTCACTAGCATCTAATTTCTCCTTACATTATCACCCCTGAATCATGCAGTAACATCATGAGAAAGAAGGAAATGATCTACAGAAGCTGTTGATTGTTAAACCAATTTTCCTTATCAGCACCTTAGGAAATGTATAAAGAACAGTGTGGAGAATATGCATACTGATGTTAGGGTGTAAAGGGTTAGAGAAGTGGGGGAGGAGGGAGGTGCCCATTTGAGGAGAGCCCTTGTTTGATATGTTGGCCCAGGAGTGGGCACTTAATCAATGGAGTAGGGGCACTTTTTCAAGAAAATACGTTAACACTGCCTTTAGTTCCAAGATTTATACTTGATCATAATGCACTAAACCACTTACTTCTCTGATTGTTTTAGGGCACTGTTCAGGATGAAAAAGAGGAGAACAAACTTTCACCAGTTGTTCTGGCACAAGAGGTAAGCATTTTGGCTTAAACGCTTTCACTTGTAGTAGTGACCCAAGAGGTTTTTATCTTTATGGCATCAATAGAAGTAAAACTATCAACTAGGAAATTTTTTTAAAAATTAAAATTATGAAAAAAATTATGAAAATAAAAAAATGAAAATTACTAAATTATGAAAAATACATGAAAAACAGTGAGGAGAAATGGTGGTAAGATCTTGGCTGTGAAAGGGCTAGAGGCAGTTTCATTCACCATCATAAACAATTTTATGTAATTTTGGGATGAAACTGTTGCTGTAGCCATGTTTACTTGATTGACCCTTTGCCCCCTATGAGTGATCAGCATATAATTTCTCCTTATATTATCACCCCTGAGTCAAACATTAAGGTCATGAGAATGAAGGAAATGATCAACAACTAAAGAAGCTCTTGATTGTGAAACAAATTCTCCTTGTCAGCATGAAAGAATTGTATAGAGAACAGTATGGAGAATATGCATACTGATGTTAGGATGTAAAGGATTAAGAAATATGCTTTAAAATAAATGGTAAGAGTTTTACTATAGATGTTAACATTTTTTAGGAACATGCAGAAAAATGAAGTTTTGTTACAACTCTGGGTTGCTAACTTTAACTCTTTATATTTATCTTTTACCATGTTAGGTGCAAACCCTTCAAAAACAGGTGGGATAATTTTTATATGTTCTCCATATTTGTTTCAAGCATTCATAAAACTGTGAAAAAATATGTTTTGAAAACAAAATTGCTTATGCTGAATGAAACAACAAATTTTTCACTCTCACTTCCATGATACCCTGAAGCAATAGTCAGAGTTTCCTGTGGGATGTTAGTTTCGTAGTTCAATTCATTTTCTTTGCGAACAGTTTTTGAGACTAGTGTGGTCTTTCCTTTAATTTTTTTTTCTGCAATTATGACAATAAACAAAAGGCAATGAAGATTAAAATCAAACTGGTTTAAAAATTTTAATCACAAAAAAAATATGAATCATGAGTTCCTTTGTAAAGGAAATGTGTTCAGTGCTATACACTGTCAGACTGCGTAGAGATGAAAACTAAATTTAGCTATAGGATGATTTTCAGTTGCAGAAATTCTGATACTGATGACAAGTTATTGGTAACCCTTTGACCCCTAAGTGTGATTAGTATCTAATTTCTCCTGAGAATATCACCCCCAAATAAAACATGAAGGTCATGAGAATAAAAGAAATGATCAACAATTTAAGAAGCTGTAGATTGTTAAACAAATTCTCCTTGTCAGCACCTTAGGAAATGTATAGAGAACAGTATGGAGAATATGCATACTGATGTTAGGGTGTAAGGGTAAAGCATCTTACTGGAAGTCTGTTCCATGCATTTATGCATGAACTTATCATTTGCCATTGATCTGTTTTAGCTTGAAGATTTACATCTGGTGAATGTCCTTGGGAAGGAGGTATGTTGGTCTTTGTCTTTTGCTGAAGTATAATAAACTATAATAAAATTTTGGGTCAAGGATCTTTTGACAGTGGTGTGTACAAAAAATCACAACAGACATATCAGTGTACACTGAATCAAAAATTCATAAAGCAAATAACTTCAAAAAACGGAATAAAAGCTGGCAAACTGAGAGATTTAAAGTTGGTGGGCTGGTGTGTGAAGAGGCATGTTTTGATTTTGTCAGAAGGAAACAACAATGTCTTGAAATCCAGCTAGGTCACAGGAGGCCCAGCAATAAAAAAGGGTTTATTAGCAAAAGTAAGGCCAATTCAAGTTGTGTACAAATACTGTAATGATTTTGATTTATCGTCCTTGTTCCAATAAGTGACCCTCTCAAATAGGTGCCCTCCCCCCCTGGAATTTGTTTTATTGATAAGTGCCCCAATTCTGTTTTAGTGATAGCACAGCTAGAGTAGACTCCCTAACATTATGTTGGAAGATTCAGTGTAGATATGTTACCCTTAAAGATTCTGCTATTGTTCCCTTTAAAATAAACATCAAATCTTTGTTTAACACTTCCTACTGTTTCTTGAAAAAGAAATAATTGCCCTGTCCCCTATAAATGCTCTCCCTAGAGGCACCATAAGTAAATAAGCACCTCTGATCCTTAAGGTACATGGAAAATATTCCACACCCTTTAAATTAAATTGTGCCAGGTATATGTTATGATCCAGGCTCCTGACAAGGACCAGCATGCCAACTTCTTTCTCACCCAACTGACTAATTCCTTCACTTGGAAAAAACTTTCAGCTCCAATGCTTTCTTTACTTTTTGTTACAGGCTTTGACTGTGGCTTCAACACCTCAAGCTGGGTTGTCACAGTAAGTCAAGTTGATATGTTAAACTTCACGATAAATGTTAGGCAAAACTTTATGCAAGTGTTCTTAGAGGAAAACATAGTCACCTGCATACACTTCCCTAGATGGCAGGCAAGGGTCTCAAGCCCAACACCTTACTCCCCTGGAGTTCCTCCCTGTTTATAGAACATGAAGTAACAAGGGGCACTGCTACTTCCCCTGGAAGGGATGCTATTCTTTCACAGCTTTACTCCCCTACCCTCTCCCTCTCCCAGCGCTACTGTATTTTTTCACATTCCGCCATTTGCCACTACCTGTTTTTGTTATTCCACTGTTAGGCTATTTTACTATGCCAGGGCATCAGAGCATGCAAAATATGCCATGGTCGAAAACCATAGGCCAAAATACTAGAAAATGAAATCATAATCTCTGTGGTATAATAAACCCCTTATTCTGTCATTGAACATATACTATGAGTGGGTATTTTGCACATTGCTCATACTTTTTCTTGTTCCCATGAGGCATGGAAAATATGATGCAACTCACAAAATATCCAGTACAGACATATTAAATGTTTAACCATCAAATTAGGTGTATATTCCCCTGAAAGGTTAGAGGTACTCTGAAAGTAAAAATGTCCTGTCCAAGAACACAACACAATGGCCAAACCAAAGCTCAACAGCTAAGAAGCTTATGACTGTGAGATGGACACTAAAATAAATTTCCAGATCAAAGATGAAATTAGATATGTTTGACTTACAATCCTGTGTTGTTGAGCATTTGTGGTTAATTATTTATTGTTCTTCTATTTATATCTAGACGCCTGCAGACTCAACTTGAAGCCTTTAAAACAGCTGAGGCAGCAAGTGGCAAGCAAACTAAGGTGTTTGTTGTTTTGTTTCTCTTTTTGAATTTTTTTTGATAATGGAGGGCAATTTGAAAAGGGAAATTTAAGTTTGAAGTGCTGTCTCAAAATTGATATGTTTGAAAAATTAAATAGGGTATTTTCAAGAGGCACAAAGCATGATGTGAATTGCTTAATATGATAAAAGTGTCTATGGTGGACATCTGGGATTCTTTCTTTGTCATACTGAAATCAGCCAGTGAGGCATGTTGCTTTGCAACACACCCCTCAAAAGTGTTTGTGGGCGTGCTCCCCTGAAAAAATTGGAAAATTGAAACTCTGTGAGATCAACATTCTGGGACATAATTGACTACCTTTTTTTTAGCCAGAAATTGATGTTGCAATCAGCTAAAAGTAGCCAGCTGCTGGCAAAGAATGTTTCCTACCTTGTTGTGTTGGCTGGCCACTCTCAGCTTTGTACATCAGTTTTGGAGAAATCAAAGTCAAATCTTGAAATTAAATCTCCTTTAATTAAGCAGCTGAGCAAATTTGTTGTCATCATTTACCAGTACTATAAATCCATGAAATTCCATTTCTATTTTCTTTAAGGTTTGGTGGAAAAGAAACCTTGAAAAAAGCATTTTTAGAGCATCTGTATGTTAAATTCAAACATCCAGAACCCTGTCAAGCCTTTTTACACTTAACACGGCATCTGGGATTGTGGTTCACATGACCAATGCAGCCATTCACTTCAAAAACTTTTGGAAAACCCTGTAAATTATCAGTACTTTTTTTTAATAACTGTGACAATTTTTTCCCCTTTTTCTATCAGCAGAGTGATGATGGATGTGTCACATATGAGTTGTTTTACAAACCAGAACATGCAAAGTTTAATCAACTTTCACAGGTAAGTTTTGTTTGCTTGTTGGGTTATTTTTGAGGGGCTGTTATAAGGGCTTGACACCCTTGTGTCTTTGGCCTTTGCTGTTCTGTAAGGTTTTATTAAATGCTTTGTGGTGGAAAGTTGATTGTAAAGATATGCAAACTTTGTCTTTCTCACAATAGTCATATAAGAAATTTTAAACACTGTGAGGTATCTGTAGTCTTTAGTCTTTCTTTAGTCTTTATTCCATCATAAGATAAAACTACATATCTTATGTTACAATGAATTGAAAAAACTACAGAAATCTACATACATATTATGAATTAAAAAGTATATCATTACAATAAATGGAGCTTAAATATCAACCTATTTACAAATGTGTTCATAAAGCGCTGTGTATTAATTTTCGGGCGCGCGCAGCCTTTCACCACTGGATCAGATATGTCTTGTGGACAGGAGAATGGCAATCCGTTGATTTTAGTTTCTTCAATTTCTGTCTTGTTTGTTTAAAAGGTTCTTGATAAAAACTGGAAATGAGATAAAACATGACATCGGTCTAAAAATAATATTTTTGTACAACCGTAAGATCGGACTCAGATGCCCCATAGACTGAAATGTAAAATTAGAAAACAATCGATATAAAAAGATGATCAATCTCTGCCTGAGATATGTACTGATGTTGAAGTGTAAACACTTGTTTGCTTTGACAAGCTTAGTTCTTACATGCTCATCAAATTTTCCATCACTCTGTAAAGTTACTCATCTATTACATTGGGGAATATTATTAATTGGAGAGTAGAGTACATTATGATTTTCTTTCTAACAACCAGCTCTTTACATTTGCAAGGGTTGCAGACCATTCTATTGTCTTTACACCATGTTAAGAACTGTTCGGCAGACGGGTCACTATTCCTAGTGATAGGCGAAAGAATAGTGGAATCATCGGCATATTTAAAAAGCACAGGGCAACCATTAAAAAAAATCTCCAATCGTTCAAAAATATAAAAAAGATACGGTCCGCTTACACTACCTTGTGTGGTTCCTCTATTGACAATATGAATAACAAATGTTGTCTTGCATTATGATACCAATTGATAATGATTTTATAACTGTTTCAGTTTGGCAGACAAAATAGCATGGTTCACAAAATCGAAAGCCTTACTGAAGTCCATGGTAGCCTTACTGAAGTCCATGGTAGCCTTACTGAAGTCCATGGTAGTAGTAGTAGTACCAGTTTTTCATACAGCATAGTTGAACTAACCTTAAAACTCCGAAGAGTGATTGGCAGCTAATTTCTCTGAACAGTTTCACCACTGGATCAAATACTGTGGTCATGAGAATGGAGGAAATCACCTTTTTATTAAGAAGCTCCTAATAATTAACATATTCTCCTTTTCAGTGCCCAAGGAAATGTATAGATAACAGTATGAGTAATATATGTACTGATGTTGAAGTTTAAATAGTTAAGGCTTTTAACAATTCTCTAGGTGTCATCTCAGTTTATGGTGACAATTTTCTTTGCTCAATTTTAAAATTTTTTTCCAATTGAGATGTTTCTTGTGAAATGCAGATATACATGATTCCCATGGCATTTCTTCCCTAGATGAGCGAGTTAGAACAAAGGGTACAGAAATTGGAGACAGTTCTGGGCAGTGATCCAACTCATTTGGTAAGTTCTGCAGTTTTGGAGGAAAAAAAAAACATTTAACCCTTTACTCCTGAGATTTGATTGTTAATTCTCCCCTCCAGATGCTACACATTTCCATGTAAATTAGTAATAAGAATTTGGTGTTAGATCAAGATAACAACTTCTACCTGATAAGTTTGAGTATTCTCATTACCAATTTGTTGGACAGTGTATGAATATATTAGGGAGAAGTTACATCTTAACCACTTCTGGGAGTTAACTTTTGATAATTATAAAGAACAACAACAATCTTTAATACCCTGCTCATGTCAACTTTCATTGTTACAATTGGCCTGATCAGCAGATATTTAGTGCTAGCCTAGGCACTGAGTTAGTCTATCAAAATGAATGCTTAATGTTGTGAAAGAATTATTGCACACTTCAGTGTGCAGAAGTGAATATATGAAATCAAGGTGAAGTGAGTTAACCAATTTATTACAAAATATGTGTACATTGATATAATTTTTATTTTTAATTTATAATTTTTGTCTTGATTAAATCCTCACCTATGTTATAAATCTGTTGTTACTTTGCAGTCCTCCATTACTGCTGATCTTGAAATTAAGGATAAAAATTTGTTGGTGAGTTTAATATAAAATTTTCCCATCCAATGTTGAAAATGGTGAGCATCATGTATTACAAAACACTTTAAGTTACCTAACCTTTTCAGTTTCAAAAGTGTTGGATTGAATATGGAAATGAATGGTATGTTTTATGATTAGTAATTATTGACTCAAATTGGAGTAGTTACTTTTATTGCCCATTTATTCTGCTAAAAAGAGGTGACACTTCTGCTTCATGTTTCCCACCCCACCCAGGCAAGGTTCAAATTCCCCCCCTGGGAATGGACAACAGTCAAATGCCTGTGAGTTGCCCAGGGGGGTGTTGAAGCTTTGGATTCATTGGGGCATGATACCTCCCTCCAATGTAGCACAACAGTTTCTTCAGAAACTTATTCCCTCTATGACGGACAGACTGAGTGATTGATTAATTGATCGATTGCCCAAGTTGTTGATTGGTTGATTAGTTGCTTGATTGAGTAATTGATGAATGATTGACAGGTTGACTGTATGATTGATTGAAGACTAGTTGATTGATTGTTGGTTTAATTGATTGATTGGGGGATTGAGTAATTGATTGATTGATTGATGGATTCATTAATTGACTGGGAGATTGAGGGCTTGATTGATTGATTGATCGATTGAATGGTTGATTGATTGATTGAGTAGTTGATTGATTGATTTCTAGTTTCATTGATTGGTTGTTAGTAATAAAGTGTTTCTGTTAACAGTCTGCGGCATCAGCTCTTGAGGCTAAAGTTGCTTTGTTGGATGCAAATCACATTGATCACGTTGATGCACGATTACAGGTGAGAAAATTTTAACGTGATCTTCTTTGACCTCACTGGCACCTCCCCCCCCCCCCCATGCTAATCCATTGCAGTCCCCTCCCCTTCCTTCCCCAGCAGTTTGTTGAGTTCTCTGACAGTTTCTGGTGCCTCTTTCTACTCCTGGGTGGAAAGACACTGTGAGAGCAAGCTTCTTTGCCTAAAAAAACAATGCAATGTCTTGAGAAGAGGCCTAAGCTGGATTGATCGATGCGAAGTTCAGGGCAGTAGTCACCAGGTATCAGGCACCAGGCACCAGGCACCAGGCACCAGGCACCAGGCACCAGGCACCAGGCACCAGGCACCAGGCACCAGGCACCAGGCACCAGGCACCAGGCACCAGGCACCAGGCACCAGGCACCAGGCACCAGGCACCAGGCACCAGGCACCAGGCACCACATGATGTCCCACGCATGACTCAATCTATGACCTTTCACATTTCGTCTCGAGGAAAATCTCTTTGTTCTTAGTGTGCTCAAAATTTAAAGTTGATTTTGGCCAGAGACTTCGATAAGTTTACAAACTTTTCAAATTGAACGTGATCTTTATCATCTTTGCTTTCCTTCTGCTCTATTCTATTGAAGGTAGTTGTGTTTTTCTAGGAATTTCTTTAGCTTTCCTTTTCCTTTTCTTCACAGGGAATATTGCATCATGTCAATGCTCTCTCAGAGAAAAAGCAGGAAGTTGAAAATTCAGCTAAGCAGAGCAAGGTGAAAGAAAATTATTTTTACCCTTTGACCCCAAAGAATGATTAGCATCTAACTTAATTCAAACTATATTCTCACTTCTGGTTTACTGTTTCTTAGGTGACCGAACTTTATGATCTTTTGAACAAGTGGGATTCGTTCGTAGACGTTGTCCCGGATCTGGTAGGTGCCGCTACTTAGGTAATCAGGCTTTCTCGCGTGGTCAACATTTCAACGGAAGTTATAGGGAGTCAAAACTGCAATTTACCCAGCACGGCACTGTTCTTCATCTTAACCTGACCTTGATCATCTTAACGTTTTCATTTGTCACTCATTTTTCATGTTTTGCTTTCTTAAACTTATAGATAACAAGACTACAATCCTTGAAAGCTCTGCATGAACAAGGTACGAACAAGAACTAGAAGAAAAACAAATCATATATGAGTAGCTTGTTTGCACTTACACCCCCCCTGAAAGTTGCACCATTTTCCCTCTCCCTTCCCCCCTCAACAAAAGGCCCTTACACCATTTTTTTGCAAAAACATAGCAGTTTTAAATGCTAAAATCATGGTTAACTTGTTATTTAGAAGAGTTACAAGTTTAGAGCCGTTTTATCACCCTTTTGAAGGTAACTATATGCGATAAAAACATCACTTTACACAAGTTCAACATTCCTCATCAATTCAACTTCTCTGCTCTGTGCTTCACAGCAAGCCAGTTTGGTCAATCGTTGTTGGAGCTGGATTCGTCTCAGTCTGCTCTGAACAGTCAAATGCGCGGCCAGGCAAAACTCCTTAGTGAGGTAAGTGTCTGTTATTTCTAGTTGTTTTGTCTATCTCTTCTACAGTGTTTTGAAATTACGGCTATGGACGCCGCCATTTTTAAAAAGAACTCGATAACCTGGCCTCGCGCACCCAAACGGTGGCAATCACAATGCGAGGTTCACTAACAACTGCTTCTCCGGTTATCGGGGAAAAAAATATGCTTTGAGTCAAGAAAACCTTTTTTTATAACTCTCACTTGTTCAAACCGATCGCCAAGAGATGTGAAGAAGGGAAGAGAGAGTTTGGTATGTCACAAGTATGAGGCAAGGCTGCTAAGCAAGATTAAAAGTGGCGCCGTCCTTTTTGAATCTTTGCGAATCTGAAGGTTCCTTTGTCATAATATTCATACATCTTTTTAATAGCGGACATGACGATTTCTGGAGTTTACTTCTCCTTTAATACATTTTCGCCTTTTCTTTTCAAGCTGGAAGCCAGTTTCAACTCCAACGTAGCCACCATTGAGGCGAACTGTGAACGAGTTGAAGCTCGCATCAATACTCTTCTCGAGAAATTCGAAACGAAAGGACGGTGATTAGCGAGAGGGAGATAAAATAGATACTTATCTAATGATTAACTTATAAGAAAGCGGGCTGGTATTCATGGTATATGCTTCGAACAATTTTCAGTTGAGTGTCGCAAGTTATCTGGGATTGTATTGGTTTTGCTTTACTTCGCTCTGTGATTGGCCCAGAAAACTCACGCTATCCTCTCAACCAATCTGGTTTGTTTTTACTTTGAGTTCTCATTGGCTCTTAAGGATATTTCTCTTCCTTCTGATTGGCTTTTGTGATTACTTTGGTTTTAGTTTTACGACACTCAATCGAAAATCACTCTGCCTTTTACGGTGTTTTGGAGAGGCAAAAGGGTTTGGAATTTTTTTAGGGTTATTTTGAAGTGTGAGTGCAATTTGTAGTCTCAAAAAAATTACAAGGGCTTATTTATTCCAAATTATACAAGGAATCATGTGATTACCTTAACGATTGCTCTTCATAAGTTGTTTCGTTACCATCAGCTTGGTTGCCCACACAAATTCCTAAACACCAGAAAAGGCTCGTTTGTAGGTTATTATTTATTCGTTTATTCTTTAAATTCGAATTCCTTTAACCCTTTACATCCTAACATCAGTATGCATATTCTCCATACTGTTCTCCATACAATTCTTTCATGCTGACAAGGAGAATTTGTTTAACAATCAAGAGCTTCTTTAGTTGTTGATCATTTCCCTCATTCTCATGACCTTAATGTTTGATTCAGGGGTGATCTTGTAAGGAGAAATTAGATGCCAGTCTCTCTTAGGGGTTAAAGGGTTAAGGAACAGTTGGGAATATAGTTAAAAGTAAGAGTAAGGCAAATTGTTTAGCGTTAAGTATGAAAATGTCTTGTATCCTATTGAACATCGAAATAGCTGATATTTTCGTTGTCTTAGGCATGCAGCATCAATTGATGCCCCTTAACTTTTTGACTGCTATTCGTGATCAAGACAGAATTTCTCCTTACAATATCAATACGATATCAAGCAGGCAAGTGATGAGAATAAAGAGAATTATTAACTAGAGGATTGGTAGTTGATCCAGTACTAAATTCACTCAACTAGCATCATATGAATTGTATGGTAGACAGTAAGGAGAATTTCTAAAGAGATCTTGGGAGTTAAAGGGTTACGCCGTTTATTGATGTGTAGGAATCTACTCCAAATTGATTCTCAGCAATATCAAGCGGCGTATGACTCTCATTAGGTAGTCGAATATGTCTGAAGCATTAAAAGGTAAAAACTTTAAAATGAACCTTAATTGAGCCTTATTCTGTGTTTCTAGCACCACTACTGTCACAAGAGTCTGTGAACAATCACATTATGGGAAACGAACGATTATTGCAACTAAATTAAATCGTGCCATTAGAGCTTCGGACCCAAGCAAACTTAGAAGAAGGTGCCATTAGGGTTGAAAACCCCAAACCGTAGAAAAGCTGACGTTTCGAGCGTTAGCCCTTCGTAACGATTAGAAGGGCTAACGCTCGATAGTGCATTAAGATCGACGCAGCACCACAGTTTCTTTAGAAACTTACCCCTTTAAACTTAGAAGACAGACGTTTCGGCTGTATGTCTAACGAACTGATAGTGCATTAAGATCGAGAAATTCTTATTAACGTGAAAAATTTCTCTATCCTCATTACACATAAAGAAAATTTTGTAGGTATGTTAAACGCGAAAACGGCCGTCAATCAATTTTACCCTCCCCACCCCTTTTACCGCGACTTCCGTTATGGCGTCACTCAAGTTTTTAGGACCTGTTTTCTTGTGACCCAACCTTAGTATACTCAAGCGTGGACTATTTTGTCTACAAAATGGCTTTTGAAAGGTGAAATCGAGGGAAACTTGAGAAATCAGTTTCAATCATGTCGAAAATCTCCGACGAGAGGAGTAAGAGGGGAATCAGTCGCTCGGAGGACTCGATGCGCGATAAACTTCGATTGAAAATAAGGCAGAGAATTCATAACTTACCGAGTGAGGGAGGAGATGAAAATATGAATACTCTGAACCAAACAGAGTCGGTCAGAACACGGCGCAATCATGGTGGAAAAGTTTCGTCCCGAGACGAAGTACAGGTAAGCATGTTTCCTTCCTTTCTCTTCACTCTCGTGTAATGTATCTGAAGTCCTGCATACGAATTTTGCGCCGGAAAAGGATGTGGCTCAATTAATCTTAATTTTTCATTAAGAAAGTTTTCATCCTTCTTTAGACCTAGAATCTTCATTTTCACTAAGACAACAATACGTTGTTATTTATGCTGCGCCAAATAAGCCAGAATTGCGAATAACATAGCGATCAGTCATTTCTTCACTTTACAAGTTTTTTTGTCCTTATTTGCCACCTGTTATGTATCACCTGCTGTTTCAGTTACTCAGTTCAATTGCTCGCTAAACCTTTTGGATGGTAGGGGTAAAAATCTTCATTTTAAAGAAATTTACTTTCATGTCGCTCTTACTTTGAATTGCAATTAAAAGCTGACAAGCCTCACTCGAGTTTAAAACAGACAGGCACATTTTTAGGCTGGCGCGTTTTCCCGCCAAAACAACATATCATTTGCTCTGCCATTGATAACGCACGCTGTGCCATCTTTCACAACTTTCATTACCTTTTAAAGCAATTATATTTAATGATCCTCTATCAAATGAAAGGTTATTTGGTCAAAATAAATACTGTAGAGTTATGTAGTTAACTTGTATCATATATCTCTGTGTGCTTTGCTAGGCTGCCTAACATGCGCAATTTTTTTTCGCGTATTTGGCCCAGCGTGACGTGAGAGAACGCGCGAGATGAGAGTAGTTAGTCGCTTTTAACACGCACCTTACGCCCACCCCTTCTCGCCCGAAAATGCAAAATAATTACGCCTTTTCTCTGGGCTGGAGTAAATTTGGAGTAATAAATATTGCGGTTTTATGATCGACAGATTGAAAAAGATTTGCATGCCAATGATTCGAAATCTAAACGCGTTAAAAAGGAGTATGATGGCTATAGAAAAACCAGGGAACATTCACAACATTTGGGAGAGGCCAGGGGCCGTGAAGTTCTCGAAAGGAATCGCAGGAACACACTTACCGACCGGAGGAGAGAAACAGATGGTACAAAGCCAAGGGAGGAATACTCCAGGCCTATGGTGGAATACCCCAGGGGCAGGCCCTCAGAAGAATACCCCATGGGTAAGCTGAATCACAGAGATGAAGTATTCCCTAAACATAAGTCGAAGCATGAATATGAAGGGCCTATAAGGAAACACCTCAAGGATGAGCCTCGTCCCATGGATAAGTCATACCTTGGAGAAAAGGCAAACCGCAGGGATATGTCAAACCCCGTGGATAGGCGTGCACCTTATGAATCGCGTGACAAGGAAAAATCTGACACGAGACATGATACACAACGAGATGAAAATCACGGCGAGGGCATAGGAGGTGTTCGGAGTAAAAATAAACTTCCCCTCGCACCAAAGCAACTCAGATTGGAACAACCGCTTAAAAAAGTGGAGAAACGCTCATTGACGTCACAGGTAAGACATTCGCACAGCTGCACCCGTACTTATTGACTGAATGGGAGGTTCGGACGTGAATATAATAGGCTCGAGGTCATGACTTCCGTGCGTTACGACTTCCATGCGTCACGACTTCCGTGCGTCATGACCGTGCGTCATTACTAATTACTGCACACTGAACCACTATTAAAAAGATTCAACAGCGAATTTTTTTCCTTTTTTCTTCAAGTCAAAACAAGAACCTTGTAATTAATCGAGAAGCACGACCCATTCACTCATTTGTTTTATTTAAAGCTGAAGTCCACAATTATAATTTACGTACTCGGAAAATGCAAAAGAGCCGTGTGAGTGCAAGGCCGGAAGGCCCTTATCCAGACCAACCCGCGTCAAACCTTACGGCCTTTTTGATGAACTTGCATCCCATCCGGGGGGAGGGGCAATACTCCCAGTCTTATATTGCCACGGAAACCAGGTTAAACTCCTGCAATGTGAGCCAAAGGCTCCAGAAGAGACTTGAACGTTTTATCTTGTACACAACCTCTCCTTAACCTCTGCGTATTTTTGATCAGGACAATCATAATGTGTTTATTTGTTTGTTTTTTGTTTCTTAAGAAACAGGCTGCTTCGTCCGGTAAAAGTGAATTTTTGTCGTCTCTGGTGAAACTAAAGGACGCTCTACAATCTCACAGTAAAGATCAAAAAGTAAGGGCTACTTTGAAAATAAGAAGTAAAAAATTTTTAAAAAAATTAACAAAATATTGTCTGAATGAAGAATATAATTTTGTGCCATGTATGTGTAAACCCGCCCTGTACCACAGTAGTCTTATTCAAAGCCGTTGTCATGGTTTCACGCTTTCTTGATGCGTCGTGCGTCACTGAGTGACAGGAAATGTTACCAAGTGACTTTTGAAAAACGGCTGGGAAATTTATAAGAAGACTGAGAAACCGTCTACATCTGATCCGATGAGTCTGCTCGTCATCATGATTGGTTTCGAAATTTTTTTAATATTCTCTTGTCTTAGAGTACAAAGGAGCCATTAATGTCCAAGAGTGGGGCGGACCTGAACATTCAACCTTGTAAAGATGATGCAGCAAAGAAAAAGGTGAGTTGACGTTTTCAACTTAGTTTTTTTATTGTGGCTTGTGCAGAGACGTTTATAGATGGGAGAGAAAATGCTGATTGTTTTTTTCTAAAATTTTTGTGAATATATTTCCAACTGCATTTTTTTTCTTTCCTTCCCCACTGGTTATGTTTTTTTTATTCATGTGAGTGATCCTGTTAATCAGCTAATAATGTTCACCATAGACCTCAGTTTAACCTGAAATCGAGGTTAACGCGGATGCATTCGTAAACACTCGTTTTCAGAGTTGAGTTTAGTCTTTTTTTAGCCTTTTTTATTTCAAATTGTAGCTTGTGTCTTACTGAGTTGAGACTTTTAGGAGAGTTGAGACTTTTTTTAATTTGATACATTTATTACATCTTTAATGACGGAGTTTGGACTCTAGCCTCCTTATCGGAAAAAATTGTCACGGTTTTTTCAAAGAATCTCTTACACTTTTCACCATTGCACCTCACGCACCACATTCACCACTCTCTCGACCAATCAGATGCAAAATTAAAACCACAATTTGGTTTTACTCTAAGTTCTCATTGGCTCTTAAAGTTAATTTTCTTTCTTCGGATTGGCTTTTTTGATCACTTTGACACTCTGTCCAAAAGCGTTCTATAAACAGTTGGTAGTATTACTCGAGTAGAGAACTCACTTTCACCTTTTCCGTGGCTTCTAGTCCACAAAGACACTGTTCAATAGGATAGACATTAAATTGTATACCTTGTTTGAGATTTTAGCCCTCAAGTTAACACCATACTTTCTGCTACGGGGGAAGGGAGAGGGTCGCCTCCTCCCCCTTCCCCCCAGGGGGGAGTTAGTAAAGGCTCTGTGGTATTAAAGTTGGCCCTTGTGGTCGGCCACAGATCTTAACTCGAGATGTTCCTTTTACAATAATCCTCTCTGCAAATAAATTTAAAAAGCCTCATCGCGAGTGCGGTAATTCATAAAACAGCAAAGTGACAAGACAGTCAAAACAGATTGTCTGAGGCTTTTGAAATGGACTCAAAACTGTCAAGAAATTTCCTGACCATTTCTCAGGAATTTTGAAAATATTAACGTAAGTGTTGTTCTGCTGAAATTTCTGCCAAAAAAGATAGATAATGCACGGTTTTCAACCGCTCGCCCACGATTGTTTACAGTAACAACCCGTGACAAAAATTTACATTACAGAAGCAAGAAAATTCATTTTAAAGCCGTTAAAAATCTCCCTTTACACAGTCAGTTTTATTCTTTTAAATTTCCGCTGTTTGTCTCAGAGCATTTTTTCCTGTCTGCTCGCCCCCTCTAAAAGGAAATTCCCAGAGCCTGCAAAACCAGAATGCGATAAAGTTTTAGATTGAGGAACAATGTGCTCACGGAATTCTCTCATTTGACGAAAACTTCCTTGATTTTTTTTTACTCAGGAATATCTATTTTTAGGTATAAACTCTTGTTTATGAAGCGACGCAAAGAATAAAGGAAAAAATTAATGAAAGAAGATATTTCCTGGCTACGTGGGCAGCAAATCCTTCTTGGCGCTTTTAAACTAGAAAAGATATCTCTGTTAGATATACCTGATGAATTTCCTGTGAACGGCAGTTGTCTTTGGACACAATTATGCGCCAAAAGCGAACGCACAAAGGTCATTAGGCAATTCACGCAACACTG